GTCACAATGTAGGGCAAACAACTTAAAGAAAACAAAAGAGATCACTGTGGACTTTAGGAAATGTAAATTGAATATTCAGCCACTTATTATTGAGGGGAAGTGCGTGGAACAGGTCTCAGTGTTTCGATTTCTGGGAATGGAGCTGAGAGATGACCTAACCTGGGGAGAAAACAGCAAAGACCTGATGAAGAGAGCACAGCAAAGGTTATGTTTTCTGAGAATCCTCTGGAAAAACAATCTCTCAAAGGACCTGTTGATGGCATTTTACCATTGCACTGTGGAGAGTGTACTAACCTATGGTCTCTATGTGTGGTTTGGGAGCTGCACGGCCAGGGAAAAACAATGCTATCCAGGGTTGTAAAGACTGCGGAGAGAATAATTGGGTGCACTCTTCCCACCTTGGGTCAAATCTATGCTTCCAGGTGCCATAAGAAAGCGGCAGAGATAGCGCAGGATAGTGCGCACCCCGGAAATGATCTCTTTCAGCTTCTGCCTTCTGGAATAAGGTATAGGGTTATAAAGACTAGGACTAGCCGCCTGAGAAACAGTTTCTACCCAAATGCAATTCTGGTTCTAAACGCAGCATAAGGGGTCTCTATGGTATAGTGTATTTTAAAGTGGGGTTTCAGAGTTTTTAGGGGTTTTTGAATGTTTTATGTAGTTTTTCAATTTCATTGTTCTGCATGGGACAATGACAATAAAGATATCGTATGTCATATATATAGCAAGGCAAGCTGCCCTTAAACTTAAAAAGATGCTGCACATGAGGAAAGAAGGATGGGTAGGAGAAAGAAAACAGCAAGTGTCTTAAAGTCACAGTTCTTATACAGACCAGCTGGGATGGGAACAGTTCAGGTAGCCCAGCCTTGACCTACTTCTGGCCCAGGCCGTGCCGGCAACTTGGGTTTATGGCTAGCTGACAGCAGTCTGCGGCCACTCTGGTTTCAGACAGACAGAAAGAGCTCTTTCCCATCCTTGCTTCCTGAAATCCTTTGAGATGGGGGCTGAGGCTGGGGTGTCCATTTCCAAAATATAAGATAAAAATAAATAAAATAAAATGAAAGCTACATACAGCAACAGTGTTTTGTGTTGTCTAGGCTCCTATTTGTTATGTGCAAATGACTTTAAATACCTGTTAGGTCCCTAAATTGCCATTTGGCATATATTCAACACAAAAAAACAGTGACAATTTGTTGTTGACAAAGGACAGCTGGACATATAAAGGGCCCCATTACCTTCAGGAGCTTAGGGCCTCATCAAACCTAAGTCCGGCCCTGCCTATGACACCCGTTGCTGGAATCGTTGCTTGTGGTTTTCCCAGCATGGGTGTCTGGTTGGCTCCTTTGAGAACAGGATACTGGCCTTAGATGGGCCTGATCCACCAGCCTGCTCTTACGTTCCTAAACACTAGATCAGCATTGGCCAACGAAAGGTAAAAAGTCCATTGTGGTTTATTGCTTCGAAGCGTCAACAAACATTTCTCGTTTTTATTTTTAACAACTCCGGCTCTCGATTTTGCAGGATCAGAAACGTGCAAAATCTCTGATGAAACATGCTGGTCAACCCACCCAGCAAGGCTCTTGATAAACCAGGGGGACCCCCAGCCTGTGGCCCCTCAAAGCTCTCTCTACGGCCCTTGAGACCCTCTCAGCCACAGTCGTCACTGGCCATGCTTTGGACCAGCCTGGTGTGTTTTTGGTGGCCTCAAATGTGTCCATTATCAGCTTGGATAAATGCTTCTTCTTTGCCTGGGAGCGGTTTGTGTGTCTAGGAAGCAGCCTATTCTTCAAAGGCAGACATTTGCATTTGTTGCTCTGTCCCCTTTTGCCTCTGAGCCCCCTAATGCCCAACACTGGCATGTGGCCCCCAGATGGTTGCCCAGAAGAGAATGTGGCCTCTTCTGAGCCAGTGTGGTGTAGTGGTTAAGAGCGGTAGACTCGTAATCTGGGGAACCGGGTTCGCTTCCCCGCTCCTCCACATGCAGCTGCTGGGTGACCTTGGGCCAGTCACACTTCTCTGAAGTCTCTCAGCCCCACTCACCTCACAGAGTGTTTGTTGTGGGGGAGGAAGGGAAAGGAGAATGTTAGCCGCTTTGAGACTCCTTAAAGGGAGTGAAAGGTGGGATATCAAATCCAAACTCTTCTTCTTCTTCTTCTCCTCCTCCATCCAGATGATCAAGGATCATTCTCCAAGTTCAAGGACAAATTCCAGCCTGGCAAAAACAACCCAGGAGGGAGTGGAGCAGGGCTGATAAAGGGCATGGCCTGGGGTGTGGGTGTGTGAGGAAGGTGTGTCCTAGATAACTGGACCCAGATTTTGGACCCTGAGCCTGAAGTTCCACACCCCTGCCTTAGGAAACTGCCCCACCCAGCCTTGTTCCTCCTCCTCCCATATATGGACAGTGACATCATATCTCAAGGAAGGGAGGAACGGTAACAGGGATTCCTTGCAGGGGCTACCTGACAGCTGGCAAGTCTAGGAATCATAGAGATGGATGGATCTCCAAGGGTCCTCTAGTCCAACCCTCTGCAATGCCGGAATCCCAGCGAAAGCATCCATGATGGATGGCCACCCAATCTCTGCTTGAAAACCTCCAAGGAAGGAGAGCCCACCATCTCCCGAAGGAGACCGTTCCACCGTCAAACAGCTGGAATCTCCTTTCTTGTAACGTGAAGCCCCTGGTTCGAGTCCTCCTCTCTGGAGCAGGAGAAAACAAGCTTTCTCCATCTTCCATGTGAAAGCCCTTGAGATATTTGAAGATGGCTCTCATCTAGTCCAACCCTCTGCAATGCAGGAATCTCAACTAAAGCAACCACAGCAGGTGGCCCTCCAACCTCTGCTTTAAGGCCTCCCAGGAAAGGGAGCCCACAACCTCTGGAAGCATTATGGCTGCTCAGCAGGCAGCACCCCAGCACAACCTGACCTGGGCAGAGGAAGGACGGAAGGATTAACCAGAGTATCCCATCCTTTGCGAGGAGGGTGCCTGCCTGTACTTCCAGGGTCTGACAGTGCAGAGGTGTGGAGAATGTACTGTATTTCTGTCTGAGGGCTGCCTTCCCTTCTGAGCGACCTTATGGGGGCCACATTCCAGAGGTGGGCAAGGGCCAGGGGCCAGAATGGGTGGAGCAATTAACGTTATACAGTAGTCTAGATTCTACTAGACATGCTCCACTGTGGGGGTGCAAATATCCAGAGTCTGGGGGTCAGTTGGGATTGCTATGAGGAATTATAAAATATATGGAGCAAGCCGTTTGTGTCAGCAATGAAAGCATTGCGTTGACTGGGTTTGAGCCATTTTGATATGATTTCTGATCAATCCACGCCTCTGCGTCTCTGTCCTATTTCTCTACACCTGACAGGCATGTATAAGCATTCTGAAACACAGGCCAGTTGCTTCACCAGGCATCCTCAGTACATAAAGTTAATAGGTTACTTTGATGTAGTTTGTTAATCTTTAGATAGATCTTAAGGGCCAGGAAGAGAGTTCACAAAGAGATGGTAAATACAGTGGTACCTCGCAAGACGAATGCCTCGCAAGACAAAAAACTCGCAAGACGAAAGGGTTTTTGGTTTTTTGAGCTGCTTCGCAAGACGATTTTCCCTATGGGCTTGCTTCGCAAGACGGAAACGTCTTGCAAGTTTGTTTCCTTTTTCTTAACACCGTTAATACAGTTGCGACTTGACTTTGAGGAGCAACTCATAGAACGCGGTGTGGTAGCCTTTTTTGAGGTTTTTAAAGACTTTGGTGATTTTTGAAGCTTTTCCAAAACTTTCCCGACACCGTGCTTCGCAAGACGAAAAAAATCGCAAGACAACAAAACTCGTGGAACGAATTAATTTCGTCTTGCGAGGAACCACTGTACTACCCATCCTTCCTCTCCTGTTTATGACCTCCGGGGTTTCCTAAAAGCATTCCTCCTTCTTTCCTATTTTATATACTCTGAACTATGCATGCTCAAGCAGGAAATTAGCTCTCTGTAGTTTTAACTTTAACTTTGTACCCACGTGGGTTTTTTTTTTTGAAATGCTCAGAGGAAATCTGATTGGTTCTTACGAACACTGTGTAAAAAGTTCTTTTGTGAATAAAACGACCTGGGCCGAGGGGTGGACAGGAATTATTATTGGCACCTCCTCCCAGAGTCTTGCTGGTCAAGCCTCGTGTGTATTTTATTAATCAGAGTCCAATCCTTCCTTGCTTTGGGAATGCTACACTCCACATGCTCACCCCCCTTAGTCTTCATCCAGACAAACGAGAAGCATTGCCAGAGTCCGAGGACACATTCCAGCGAGGCAAAAATATTAGACGATGGTGGGAAGCAGGGCAAGTGGGAGATGTGTGCTGGGGCAGAGGACTTGTGTCTCAGAAGGGTGTGTGGCCTGGAGACAGTTCTGAAGACCAGGTAGATGGACCTTTGGCCCCTTAGCCTGAGATTTCCCACCCCTGTGATAGATGGGAGAGGAAATACGGGTGGTTTCTTAATTATAAGAATGACTGATGCACCTCCCATTCTAATCCAGAAAAAAATGGGGTCCCAGGTGTCAACAGTTTGAGAAATGTGGGTGGGTTTCTCTTCACAGCTGGAGGATCCCCAAATGAGGTGTTTTTTTGGGGGGGGGCTGTTTCTCAGTAACCTGGTCACCAAGTGAGGACTTGCATGTATGCGGCTCCTCTGTTAGCTGAGGGGGCATCTATTTTGAGCACATTTTAAACCAGAACTGCAGGAGAACTTGAAGGTCTTGGTGCTCGTGGGCAAGGACAGGGGCTCTGTCCAAAGACCCGTTTGTAGCTTTGCACTTTCCAAGCCACACATCTGACCTGGAGTCCATTTTTGGTCCCAGCCAGCCTCCATCTCTCTGCCCCAAGAAAGACAATAGCACTGCCTGTCTGGCTGGACTTGACTGTTCCAAAGCGTTGACATGATTCCTTTGCAAACTGTTCTGTAAACATATGTCTTATGCTCAAATTATTTAAGGAGATCATGTGCTCTGTGCACCATTGCTCAGCAGCTCAAAAGATGAATGTACAATTTTAATTGAAAAATAAAGTAGATTTGTTCTGCATGTGTGAATGAGTCACCGCAGAGTAATCCCACAGACCAAGCTTTCATCTTCTCACCTCCCACGTTCTTCAGTGGGGTCCGTTCACACCTTCGGATGTGAGTCGTCCAGTGGTGAGGGATGTAGGGATGGAAGCCTACCTCAGACGTAAGACCTATGCCTTAAAGTGTCGGCCAAACATGTGCCTGCGATAGCAGCAAAACACACCCACCCCGACGACGACCAGGGACAGAGCCAGGACGGCTGCCACCAAGATCAAAACGCTCATCTTCTTGAGATCCTCCTTCTCGCAATCTTCTGGCCTGATGTCCCTGACCGCCATTTCTTCTTCGTAGCCAAAGCTCTTGGCGTACTGACATTTGGTGAGGTCCAAGTTGGGGATCTCCACAGTGGCCCTGTGGATCATTTGGGAGAGCCAAATGTTCCCGCAGCAACTGAGCGGGTTGCCCGCCAGGTACAAGTTCCGTAGGTTCTTCTCCAAAGTTGGGATCTTGCTACCTTTGAGGTCGCTGAAGCTGTTGTTCTGCAGATCCAGGACTTCCAGGGCACAGCAGTTCTCAGACCAAGCAGGCAACCAGCTCAATCGGTTGTCTGACAAGTTGAGATATACGAGGTGCGGGAAAAGCGGGAAGTCAGTGCTCAGAGATGTCATGCCGTTCCCGTGCAAATCCATATATTTTAGAGACATCTCCAAGCCCGAGAAAGATTTGGGCTCTATGTGGAGTCCCCAGTTCAGAGAGAGGTCCAAGGCTACGAGTTGAGTCCTGTAGAAAGCATGCATGGGAATCCTCTTCAGCTTGTTGTCAGAAAGGTACAAGTGCTGAAGTTCAGGAAGGTCGACGAACGAGACGCAGCCGCGGTCCTCCCCAGCGAGCCTTTTCCTGGCTAACCCTGAATAGAAGCCACAAAGACAGAGGTTGTTGCTTCGGAGGTTCAGAAGCGAGAGGCGAGGGAGGTGGGCAAAGATGTCTGGTGGCAGTGATTGGAGACGGTTGCCTTGGAGGAAGAGCTTCTGCAAGTTGACCAGGGTGCCGGAACCCCAATCCAGATGCTGCAAAGAGTTAGAACTGAGGTCGAGGGTGGTCAGTGAGACCAGCTCGGCACTTGCCATGAAAATCTGAAGGCAGTTTTTGCTGAGGTTGAGAACCTGAAGGGCAGACATGGAAGTAAAGAACTCGCTTGGGATGGTTTGGATCTCATTGTAGCTCAGGTCCAAATATAACAGTCCAGGCAGATGTGGAGAGATGGTGTTGTTCTTCTGAGCCTGGTTCTGAAGACCAAGAGTTGTGTCCATCCAGCCGTAGTCGCCATCATCGTCATCACGTGGAGATTCCACCATAACAAACTGCATTATGTTCTTGGATAAATTCAGGTAGGCCAGTTTGCTTGCCTGCGTGAGAAATGGGAACCGGAGGAGCTTATTCTCGCTCAAGTCCAGCCAAACCAGGTTGAACTCCTCCTCGGATTTGGTGGAATGGAAGGTCTCAATGCTGTTCCGGCTGAGATCGAGAACTCTCAGCTGTTTCAGGTTGAAGCCAGCAATACAGGTGAGGGAGTTCATAGAGAGGTTGAGCTTGGAGAGTTGTGACAGGATCTCAAAGGCTCCTTCTTCTATCTCCATGATCATATTGCTGTGAAGGTCCACTTCAACCAGACCTGGAGACCCCTGGAACGTCCTTTGTGAAATTTCTATAATGCTGTTCTCCGCCAATGAAAGGTGCCGAAGCGAAGGAGCTTTGTGGATGAAATGTTCAGCCATCCCAGTGTAGAGTCTGTTGCGGGACAAGTCTAGCGTTCTGACTTGGGGGAGTGAGCCAAGCCACAGGTCGTGCTGAGCCAACTGGTAGAGCTGGTTGTCGGCCAAGTTGATCTCCTCCAAATTCCTCATATCTCTGAAGATTTCAGACTCGATGAAACCGATATAATTGGAACTTAAGTCTAGATGGCGGAGGGAGGTGTAAAAAGCCAGGGGACTTTCTGTGATGTTCAGGAGCTTGTTTTTGGAGAGGTCGATTTTACGTAAATTTGGGTGAAGCTCCGGAGGTATCTGGTGAAGATCTTTGCCGTGACAAAATGCCTCCATGCTTCTCTACAGAAAAGGAGAAAGAGAGAGAAGAATGAGCTAGGATGACATTCACATTGCCTACAGCTCAAAGCCATCGAACGAAATAAATGTTGGAAGATTAGGGTAAAGGTACCCCTGCCCATACGGGCCAGTCTTGACAGACTCTAGGGTTGTGCGCCCATCTCACTTAAGAGGCCGGGGGCCAGCGCTGTCCGAGGACACTTCCGGGTCACGTGGCCAGCGTGACAAAGCTGCATCTGGCGAGCCAGCGCAGCACACGGAACGCCGTTTACCTTCCCGCCAGTAAGCGGTCCCTATTTATCTACTTGCACCCGGAGGTGCTTTCGAACTGCTAGGTTGGCAGGCGCTGGGACCGAGCAACGGGAGCGCACCCCGCTGCGGGGATTCGAACCGCCGACCTTTCAATCGGCAAGCCCTAGGCGCTGAGGCTTTTACCCACAGCGCCACCCGCATCCCCGGGTGGCGCTGTGGAAGATTAGGGGCAGATAAAAGAAGGAACCTCATCACACTGCACAGAATTAAATTATGGGGACCATAATAAATAAACTCCAATTTTTTATTAGGAATTGTTGGTACCGATATTCCAAAGGAGCAGAAAAGACTTTTTATGTTTGCGACAACAGCCGCATGGATGCTACTAGCCCCAAAATGGAAAGTAGATAAAGTCCCTACCAGAGAGAAATGGAAAATTACCGTATTTTTCGCCCCATAGGATGCACCGGCCCATAGGACGCACCTAGTTTTTTGGGGGGGAAATAAAGGGGGGGGAATTATTTTTTCCCCAGGTGCGCTGTGCTAAGCCCGAAGCTTGGGGCGTGCGGAGCTCAGCGCGCCCCAAGCTTCTGGGTGCTGGCAAGGTCTCCGCTAGCCGTGGGAGAGCCACGCGGCTCTCCCACGGCTAGCGGAGCACTGCGCTAATCCCGAAACTTGGGGCGTGCGGAGCTCCGCACGCCCCAAGCTTCTGGGTGCAGGCAAGCTCTCCGCTAGCCCTGGGAGAGCTGGGTCTCCCACGGCTAGCGAATAGCTTCCTGAAGCCTGGAGAGCGAGAGGGGTCGGTGCGCACCGACCCCCCTCGCTCTCCAGGCTTCAGTGAAAGCCTGCATTCGCCCCATAGGACGCACACACATTTCCCCTTCATTTTTGGAGGGGAAAAAGTGCGTCTTATAGGGCGAAAAATACGGTAAGCTGTTGGACTACGCCGAAATGGCAAGACTGACTGGAAAGCTCAGAAACCAAGAAAACCAAAACTTCAATAAAGAAAGGAGAAAATTTATAATTTATCTTGAATAACACTAGTAATGTAACAAATGCTATGGATAAAATGGAGAGACATAAAATATGGATTATGAAATAATATGCAGTTGAAAAGGATGACAATAGGACCCATGGAGGGGAAGGTGGGGAGTCGAGAGATCAGGAGAAATCTCTAAATAAGGATATGGATTGTACTTTTATGATTCTATATCTGTAAAACCAAATAAAAATTATTTCAAAAAAATATTATGGGGATGATAGACTTGTAGAGTTGAAAGGAACCCCAAAGGTCATTTAGTCCAACCCATGCAATGCAGGGATATTTTGCCCATTGTGTGGCTCAAACCCACAACCCTGGGAGTCTCACACTCTACCAACAGAGCTATCCCTCCATAGCGTGCATGCAGTAATGTCCTTGCAGGAGATGTTGTGATGGCCACAGACTTAGATGGCTTTAAAAGAGGATCAGACAAATTCATGGACACAGTGGTACCTTGGTTCTCAAACGCCGGAAACCCGGAAGTGAGTGTTCCAGTTTTCGAATGTTTTTTGGAAGTTGAACATCCACTGCGGCTGTCGGCTAATGTTTCCGGGGCACCTGCACCAATCAGAAGCTGCGCCTTGGTTTTTGAACATTTCAGAAGTCAAATGGACTCCCGGAAAGGATTAAGTTTGGTGCTTTTATTTTTGCTATTTATTTTGCATTTTTGTTTTTTAGGCTTTTTTGGTTAATGTGTTTTTGCAACTGTGTGGAACCCAGTTCAGCTACTGATTGACTGCGGAAATGGATAAAAGCCCCCCACCCAAACAATGGCTATCATCAGTACAGGTATGGAGAAAAAATTAATTTTAATTTTTATCATCTACAATAATGTCTTATTTATTTTATAGTACAGTACATTGGCTATTGCTTTCATTTTATGACTCGATGGTCTCGTTAGATAGTAAAATCCATGTTAAATTGCTGTTTCAGGGGTTGTTTTTAAAAGTCTGGAACAGATTAATCCGTTTTGCATTGTTTTCTATGGGAAAGAGTGCCTTGGTTTTGGAATGCTTTGGTTTTGGAACGGACTTCTGGAATGGATTAAGTCTGAGAACCAAGGTACCACTGTATTGGTAAAGTAGGCTTGTTTTGACACATACCCAATCCTGCATACAGGGAAGCTAAAGGTATTATCAGAGCTCAAGGGCACATTTTAGCCAGATGGACACTTTCAAAGAAGGGTGCAAAGCAGGGCCAATGAGGAGAGTCCTGAGGGCCAGACGCAGAGGCATGGAGGGCCACATTCAGTGCCCAGGCCCAGCATGAGTAAACGTTCTCTGCATTGGGTCGCCTTCCACCTCTGCTCCTCACCCTTCCCTTCTTGTTTGCATCTATCAGGGGTAGGCAACCTAAGGCCCGGGGGCCGGATCCGGCTCAATCGCCTTCTCAATCCGGCCTGTGGACAGTCCGGGAATCAGCATGTTTTGACATGAGCAGAATGTGTCCTTTTATTTAAAATGCATCTCTGGGTTATTTGTGGGGCCTGCCTGGTGTTTTTACGTGAGCAGAATGTGTGCTTTTATTTAACATGCATCTCTGGGTTATTTGTGGGGCATAGGAATTCGTTCATTTCTCCCCCCGCCAAAAAAAAATAAAAAATAGTCCAGCCCCCCACAAGGTCTGAGGGACGGTGGACCAGCTCACAGCTGAAAAATGTTGCATCTATCACTGGAGATTTTGCTGAGCACCCTCCCCACCCATCATAATTCCCAAACAAAGCCTGTATATCTCTTTCCACATTGGGGGGGGGCTCCCCCCTTTCACCACCCTCTCCTTTCCTACCCAGACATTCCTTTTGAACCCCGTCCAACTTTCTCCAGATCTCTCTTCTGCTTTGCAAATATAATCTCCTTTCTTTCTTGGCTCCGCGACCGCAGTCTATTCGGGGGTATTCCATATGGAATTGGAAAGAATGTCGAAGGAAAACAGGATGCGTGTCGTTCGCACGGGCTCCAGCCCTCGCAGGAGCAGCCGAGGGAACTATTTGGGGGCTAGGCAATGCTTCGGACCTCTCTGAGGGGCCCGTCGTTTTTTCAACTTACTCACGTTCCTTTGATCAGCAGCTTTGTTCTAACACTTCCCAAGGGGGAAGGTTCTTCCGAACGTGAGAAGCTTCCTTCATGCTAAGACAGACCATCCACCAAAGTCAGTGTTGCCTGCACGGACTGCCAGCACTTCTCCAGGGTTCCCAGCACCGAATCTCTCCCAGCCCTAGCTGAAGGGAACAAACCTGGGTTTTCTGCATGCAAAGCAGATGTTCTACCCACTAGGCTATGGAAGCAGGTAGCTGCTACTTAGGTTAAGCAGTGCCAGGGCAGATGTACCAATGACCTGACACAGTATAAGGCAACTTTGTTGCTGAGCAGATAGTTGAATCCTTCCCCAGCCACTCTGGGCGGCTTCCAAAAAATAATAAAATACTATAATACATCAAACGTTAAAAGCTTCCCTAGGCAGGGCAGCCTTCAGATGTCTTCTAAAAGTCTGATAGGTGTTGTTCTCTTTGACATCTGGTGGGAGGGCGTTCCACAGGGAGGGTGTCACTACCGAGAAGGCCCTCTGCCTGGTTCCCCGTAACCTCACTTCTCGCAGGGAGGGAACCACCAGAAGGCCCTTGGCGCTGGACCTCAGTGTCTGGGCAGAATGATGGGGGTGGAGACGCTCCTTCAGATATACTGGACCAAGGCCGTTTAGGGCTTTAAAGGTCAGCACCAACACTTTGAATTGTGCTCAGAAATGTACTGGGAGCCAATGTAGGTCTTTCAAGACTGGTGTTATGTGGTCTTGGCAGCCGCTCCCAGTCACCAGTCTGGCTGCCACATTCTGGATTAGTTGTAGTTTCCGGGTCACCTTCAAAGGTAGTCCCACGCAGAGCGCATTGCAGTAGTCCAAGCGGGAGATAACCAGAGCATGCACCACTCTGGCGAGACAGTCCGCGAGCAGGCAGGCTCTCATCCTGCGTTCCAGATGGAGCTGGTAAATCCTTCTTTCAGTCCACCTGCTGGTGGCCCCAGATTGCTCTAGGTCAGGGGTGGCCAGCTCCCAAGAGACTGTGATCTACTCAAAACTGGCAGTGATCTATCCCATTTTTGGGAGTTCAGGTCAAAGTTTTTTCAGGGAGGAGGTAAAATGTTGAGCTTTTTTTAGGGGAGCCACAGTTGTTCAGCTCCTTTGGGGGAGCCAATAATCTACCAGTGATCTACTGCAGACGTCCAGTGATCTACCGGTAGATCACAATCTACCTGTTGGACATGGCTGCTCTAGGTGTCTTCATCCAGGACAACCCGGGGCTGTTTCCACACATCTTGGGCAAAGCCCGGATCCCTCAAATATTCAGGAATCCTATAATTCCCAAGGAGAACTGAACGAGAGTTCTTCAGAATGACTGTTCTCTGGGAAAACCCTCCCCAAAACATCTGCTGGTGCTTCAGCGTGGACAAAATCAGACAGGGAGAATGGTTTCGAAGGAGCTGAGCAATGTCCAGCTCACTCGTGCCTGTGAGTAATGCAAGATGTGTACAACTGCAGATGAACAGGCCGGACGAAGCACAGGCTACACCCAAATGGCACATTCCCCCAGAGGCTTGGCTCACTAACTCGGGCGACAGCTCACAGTTGTTTCCATGCTAGAGCCCATTGGCACTGTGAAGGGATTATTCTTTCACAATTAAAGGTAAAGGTAAAGGGACCCCTGACCATTAGGTCCAGTCGTGACCGACTCTGGGGTTGCGGCGCTCATCTCGCTTTATTGGCCAAGGGAGCTGGAGTACAGCTTCCGGGTCATGTGGCCAGCATGACTAAGCCGCTTCTGGCGAACCAGTGCAGCACACGAAAACGCTGTTTACCTTCCCGCCGGAGCGGTACCTATTTATCTACTTGCACTTTGATGTGCATTCGAACTGCTAGGTTGGCAGGAGCTGGGACCAAGCAACGGGAGCTCACCCTGTCGTGGGGATTCGAACTGGTGACCTTCTGATCAGCAAGTCCTAGGTTCTGTGGTTTAACCCACAGCGCCACCCACGTCCCTATCTTCCACAATTAACAGGAGTTAAAAGGGTGGTTCCACACTTAATATAGCATGATAGGGACCAGCAGTGCCCTTCTCCTTGGCCCAAATCCTGTTGTAACATACATCCTATTCAGCTAAGGTTTCCAGCAATGTTAATTAAAAGTTTCCTGTTGGCAGGTTGCCCCTGAATTAGTCCTCTTCCACCCTGGTGTGTATCTGTGTTAATTATTACTAGCCTCCAGCCATTCTTGTTATAGTGTAATAGAAAGCAATTGAACGAATCTGAAAACAGGAAGCTTTTGATTAAAGGTACAGTTGCTCTTTAAAAGCCCAGGCAGCTCAAACCTTGCGCACGCCAGAAATGCATTTTCAAGCTCTCCTCTGGCCAAATCAGGTCTGCAAAAAACAAGGGAAGACAACCCATCTGGAACGCAACCATTTGGCAGCAATGCCGCATGGATTCCCTTTCCAACAAGAACAAGCAAAAGATGGGATTTCCAGAGTTTGTTACAACTAACTCTTCAAGCAGGGCTGGTTGAAGACAACTCTGTGCACCCCTAAATTCCCTGATCAACCTGGGGCATAAATTCAACAGAATTCTTCCGAAGAAGCTTTGTGGAAAGGCACAGGAGAGCATGAGAATGATTTCAAGATCTGCCAACCGAGAGGGCTGCCTCTCCTTGCTTTATGTTACAGCTGGTTCTCTGGCTTGAAGACAAGACGGCTTAACGAAATTTGAATCTCCTGACCTCCCCACGTCCTCGCAGAGCATCCCAGTCAACAACGGCGGGAGAACGAGAGCTTTGCTCGGTCTTTGATTCGTTCCAGCGAAGAGACACTAGAATTGCTTGGCCAAGAACGAACCCTGGAGAGCAGCTGCCAGCCAGTGTAGCCTATAGGAACCTCGATGAATCTATGGTCTGAGTCCTTCAAAGACAGCTCCTTGAGACTGGGCGCCTTTAGTTCAGTCTGAGAGACAGCGACATACAGGAAGAAGGCAGCAAACTCAGGTGACTATGGAGAGGATTTGTAGAACAGATTATCACTGGGTGTGCATTTGCTGCAGGCCAGATCAGACTATGGAACTCTCTCTTACCCTCAGCTATTTCTCTGCAGAAAAGCACGACTGAAGTGATCCATTGTGGTTTCCTTATATAGTGGTACCTCAGTTGCGGACTGTCTCGCCAGACTGGTGCAAGCTCTGGTTATCTTCCGCTTGGACTACTGCAATGCACTCTATGTGGGGCTACCTTGGAAGGTGACCCGGAAACTGCAACTAATCCAGAATGCGGCAGCCAGACTGGTGACTGGGAGCGGCCGCCGAGACCATATAACACCTTGAAAGACCTACATTGGCTCCCAGTACGTTTCCAAGCACAATTCAAAGTGTTGGTGCTGACCTTTCAATCCCTAAACGGCCTCGGTCCAGTATATCTGAAGGAACGTCTCCAGCCCCATCGTTCTGCCCGGAGACGGAGGTCCAGTTCCAAGGGCCTTCTGGCAGTTCCCTCACTGTAGAGAAGCCAAGTTACAGGGAACCAGGCAGAGGGCCTTTTCGGTAGTGGCGCCCGCCCTGTGGAACGCCCTCCCACCAGATGTCAAAGAGAACAACAACTACCAGACTTTTAGAAGATTTCTGAAGGCAGCCCTGTTTAGGGAAGCTTTTAATGTTTGATGTATTACTGTATTTTAATATTTTTTTGGAAGCTGCCCAGAGTGGAAAATATGATTATGACTATGATATGGTTTTATGAAATAATGATATTGGAAACTGCTATATATAATTACTAAGAAATTCAGATGGAAGAAGTCAAGTAATATGTTGATGAAGATGGATTTTAATTAATTAATTAAGTTTTAATTTACGTGGTGGTTGGATGTATTTTATGTTTTATATTCTTTCTTCCTTTTTTTCTTTTCATTTTTTTCCTTTTATTATTGTTTATTCTCTCTTTTGTTATGTTTTGTATGAAAATAATAAATATCATTGTGAAAAAAAGAAAAAAAAGTAGCCTGTCACTTTATGAAACTGGTGATTTTGCAAGTTGCTGCCCCCCCCCCAATTGGGGCAGAAATACAGCTAATATGTGAATCACAAAGATATAGCTCAAAGATAGAACAGGGCACAGCAAGGTTTATCTTCCCTGGGCCGGATCGGTCCCGCGGAGATCCCTCTGTGGGCCGGACCATGTGTGCGCATGAGCGTGCGCCCCCGCGATTTTTGGCATCTGCACATGTACAGATGTGATTTTCGGTGTCTGTGTTTGTGCAGACGCGGTTTTCGGCACCGCGGAAGCGAGTCCCTGTGCCGTGCTGTGCTGATTTAGCGCAGCATGAGAGCGGGCAACTCAGTTCGGGGGCGCCAAAAATCGTGGCTGCACATGCTCATGCAAGCACATGATCCATGGGCCTTCGGTTGCTGACCCCTGAGCTAGGACGTAAGTTGCTACATGGTGCAAATGGCTCCACGTAACACAGTTTCCCAACATGCACACTAACACAATGTAACAGAACACAGTGGAATCAGAACTTAATCAGCAGAAATTGCCAGTGCTTATTGCGCAGGTGTATTAAACATGAAATGAGGTAATGATGTGTATGATTGGTGGAAATTGAAATGCTTTGTTTGCAATTTTATAAATACCACTGGCTGGACTACCGGGAGGGGTTGCAGTTTTGCGGAACGATCCGACTGTAACCTATTGCTTTGCAATAAACAATGTTGGATTCCTAACTCCTCTCGTTTCTGAGTTTTGTTGGCGTAAACTCAGGAGATAAGCCATTTTCTGGCTTACAACAACATGCCAGTTAAGCTGGCAAAAAGGACCATTGTGATAGGAATTTTATGGTCTTAGATATATGGTAATGTTCATAAGTGTACCAACCAAGCACGTACATTGATCAGCACAGGAAGGCCAACCTGGAACCATTTTGATTCCCAAACTGACCAAATGTTTTCTCTGCAAGGTCAAAGGAAAATGGAAAAGCCTCCCCATTCTCTTTTCCTTCACAAATCCTGTCTTAAGGGTATGTCTGTGTTTGAATAGGGTGTGAGCCTGTGACATGGCCCAGGAACTAAGTATTTATCACTACAAAAGACTAGCCAGGCTCCCCAGGAAATCCAATCAAGTAACCAGCCAGACAGGAGATAAACAACACAGGAGAAAAACAACATTCAAAATTTCTGTTTTAGACCGCCTTTTTTGTGATGTAGGTGTGATGTATCTGAGGGGTGGCCTCAGGTTACACCCCTTCTGTGATGTATGTATGATGTTTCTGGGGGTGGTCTTGATCTAAAAGGTAAAGGTACCCCTGCCCGTACGGGCCAGTCTTGACAGACTCTAGGGTTGTGCGCCCATCTCACTCAAGAGGCCGGGGGCCAGCGCTGTCCGGAGACACTTCCGGGTCATGTGTCCAGCGTGACATCGCTGCTCTGGCGAGCCAGAGCCGCACCTACCGGAAAACCGCCGTTTACCTTCCGCCAGTAAGGGGTCCTATTTATCTACGTTGCACCCAGGGGGTGCTTTCGAACTGCTAGGGTTGGCAGGCGCTGGGACCCGAACAATGGGAGCGCACCCCGCCGCGGGGATTTCGAACCGCCGACCTTTCGATTCGGCGAAGCCCTAGGCGCTGAGGGGCTTTTTACCGCCACAGCGCCCACCCCGCGTCCCTTGGCGGTCTTGATCTACAGGGTGGCAATTTCAAAAGTCTTTATAAGGCCTTGCAACGCCATTTTTCTGGGTTCTCCTCTCTCCTTGCATATGGTGAGGGGAGCACCCTGTTTGCAACAGATCAATAAAGATCAGGCTTACTAGCTGCTTCGCTTCTCAATATTCTCTGGTTGGCCTCTGTCATTTTCTCCTACCAATAGGGAACCTATGTAAGGACTCTATATGGGCTCTTGAATACCCCATAAGGGAAAAGGGAAATTTTTGTTTATAGTACCATGCAACTCAAACACTACTTTAAAGGTGTGTTTTCCCTCTGCCAGGCTTAGCTACAGCCCTCCCAATTTGCCGCCATCTGCAAATTGGATGAGCATCCCCTCTGTTCCTTCATCCAAGTTGTTTATGAAGAACAGGATGATGAGGAACCATTCGTGAGTGCTCTTGGGGTTCGGTCAGTCATCCAGCTACAAATCCACCTGACAATGACCTCGTTTGACCCCCATTTTGCCAGCTTCCTCTAGAGAATATCATGGGGGGGGGGTTGTCAAAAGCCTTACTGAAACCAAGACATTACACCAGGTTCTTGCAGGATTTGCCCTGCTTGGGTTCGAACCCTTTGCCAAAGTTCTTACAATTTCACAGGGCGACCGTTCCATCATTGAGAAGGTTGAGACGTCTCCATTCAGCGCTGCGAGGAAGAGAAAGAGGTAGAATTTCATGGCTCTGTAGAGTGGGAGAAAAAGGGAGTCCAAGTTAGAGACCAAACCAGTTGTTTCAGGTAGGGGTTGGAAGAAACGGGTTTTTGAAAGCTGTGATAGGCATCATGAAGAACAAATAGCGGCTACGGATGGGTGAATCGGTCGATTTCAGTTTTCTCATTTCTCCAATCTTAAATTCAGTTCTCCACATTTTCACGTCAATTTGCAAAATTGTTTTTGAATATTCCTCATGAAAATTCATCCGGATTTCAATGAGAACTGAATGCACACATTTCTATACCACTTTGTCTATTATGTGCATCTTTGCAAAGGAACTTCCTCCCAAATAATGCAATTTTTCTATGCTATTTCAGCCACTATATGCATTCTTAAGGTACGCTTTTATGCCTTTTAGTACACATCACTTGGCTGGAGAACTGCACTGCGAAATTCAGAGAATTTCGAATTTCAAAGCCTTGCCATGTTTCAGCATATTGTTTCTGAAAGTGCAAGCTAGGTAGCTTTGCTTTTAAATTTGAGTTACTTTGAGTGACTCTTCCATTCTTTCTTGTGGCAGAGGATTGGCTAGGATGCCAAATTAATGCCTACTTTGGACCCGATGCTTCTTTGTTTGTTTGTTTTCAAATGTATTTCTTATCAATCAAAAATTAGGTGTAGCGTGAACATTTTTTTTATTCTGATATACGATATATGATATACAATATCTTTATTGTCATTGTTCCATGCAGAACAATGAAATTGAAAAACTACATAAAACATTCAAAAACCCCTAAAAACTCTGAAACCCCACTTTAAAATACACTATACTATAGAGACCCCTTATGCTGCGTTTAGAACCAGAATTGTATTTGCGTAGAAACTGTTTCTCAGGCGGATAGTCCTAGTCTTTATAACCCTGTACCTTCTTCCAGAAGGCAGAAGCTGAAAGAGATCATTTCTGGGGTGCGCACTATCCTGCGCTATCTCTGCCGCTTTCTTGTGGCACCTGGAAGCATAGATTTGACCCAAGGTGGGAAGAGTGCACCCAATTATTCTCTCCGCAGTCTTTACAACCCTGGACAGCATTGTTTTTTCCCTGACCATGCAGCTCCCAAACCACACACACAGACCATAAGTTAATACAGTGCAATGGTAAAATGCCATCAACAGGTCCTTTGAGAGATTGTTTTTCCGGAGGATGCTCAGAAAATATAACCTCTGCTGTGCTCTCTTCATCAGGTCTTTGCTGTTTTCTCCCCAGGTTTGGTCGTCTGTCAACTCCATTCCCAGAAATCGAAACACCGAGACCTGTTCCACGCACTTCCCCTCAATAATAAGTGTGCCCCAGAGAAAAAAGTTTGAGAACCACTACTTTAGACCTAGCAATGGGGTCCCCAGTGCTGGACAAGGGGTTGCAGCGATGGTGGAGCCTGGCTTTTTGGGGCAAGTTTGGGGCAAGTGGTCTGGCTTTTAAAAAAGAAATACAAAGTCAGCTGACTTTGTTCTTGGGGAACGGTTGACTTATCAGCCGTAGGTTTTATCAGAAGGGATCTGTCAGCATGGGTATTTACTTTAGGTTTTTCTGCGTCTGCTTGAAAATCCCCAAATATCTTTTCAAAAAAACCCGAAGAGTGAATGGTATAAACCTCAAAGGATTGGGGGGTGGAGGTTGCTGTAAAATCACTCAGCATAAAGATTGGAGATAGAGTTTTACGGGAAGTTGTGATATGACGGAGCCCTTGTTGCTCAAAGTCCTTATACACTCATTGTTTTTTCCTGTCTCACTGTCGTATCCAGTAAAACAGGCTTTGTAGGTCGTCCCCCCCTTCAAGATCCTTCAAAACTGTGTGTTAAAATAACTCAGTGTGTCCATGATGTGCAACGGTGATTGTCAGTTTCAATTTCTCTCGTTTTCTTATTTTTTCAGTTCTCCACATTTTCGTATCAGTTTGCAAATAATTTTCTGTCTTTATTATTATTATTATTATTATTATTATTATTATTATTATTATTATTGCATTTGTATCCTACCTTTCTATCCAAGGAGCTCAAAGTGGCAAACATGGTTTTCCTCCTATTCATTTAATCCCCGCAACAACCTTGTGAGGTAGGTCAGGCAGAGAGGCCCAAGGTCACCCAGCGAACATCATAGCTGAGAGGGGATTTGAACCCTGTACCTGCTGGGTCATAGTCTGGTACTCTAACCACTAGACCACACTGTCTTAATGGCTCACAAATATTCATCAAAATTTTAGAATGACCTAACATACAGTACATATGTTTCTATAATAATAATAAAAAAATTTATTTATATCCTGCCCTCCCCAGCCGAAGCCGGGCTCAGAACGGCTAACAACAATAAAAGTAACACAGCATTCTAAAATCAATTCATTCTAAAATCAATTCAAAATCAAGTTAATGGCAACCATTGATCTAGAGTTTTGTGAAGATTACAGAAGAAGAGAGGGGGTCAGACTGTGCCTTGGCCAAAGGCCTGGTGGAACAGCTCTGTCTTGGAGGCCCTGCGGAAAGATGTCAAGTCCCGCAGGGCCCTAGTCTTTTGTGACAGAGCATTCCACCAGATGGGGCCACGGCCAAAAAAGCCCTGGCTCTGGTTGAGGCCAGCCTAACCTCCCTGTGGCCTGGGACCTCCAAGGTGTTTTTATTTCAAGACTGTAAGGTCCTCCGTGGGACATACCAGGAGAGGCTGTCCCATAGGTACGAGGGTCCTAGGCCGTATAGGGCTTTAAAGGTTAAAACCAGCACCTTAAACCTGATCCTGTACTCCACCGGGAGCCAGTGCAGCTGGTATAGCATTGGGTGAATGTGATCCTGCGGCAAGGAACCCGTAAGGAGCTTCGCCGCGGCATTCTGCACCCGCTGGAGTTTCTGGGTCAGTCTCAAGGGCAGCCCCACGTAGAGTGACTATGCAATTCTGCCTTGGATCCCTATATTTGCAAAGCAACCTTCCTGAACCCATTGCGTTTTTGTACGCTGCTTCCACCAACATATGCACCTTAATGTGCATTTTACCCTAGCAAATGCATTTTGGTACGCATGACTTGGCTGCATTGCAAAATTTGGAGAATTGCAAATTTCGAAGGATAGCTTTTGTTCTCGGACTGTTTCAGGAAGTGAATACGAGGTAAGTTTGCCTTTAAATGTGAACTGAACTGAATTCCCCCCCCCCATCCCTAGTGGTGACTTTTAATTAAAAATAACAATAAGAAAGCCTTATGTGGATTAGTTGAGGGAGTTGGACGTGTTTAGCCTGGAAAAGAAGAGGCTGAGAAGAGATTTGATAGCCGTCTTCAAATGTCTCAAGGGATGTCAAATGGGAGATGGAGCAAACTTGTTTTCTCCTGCTCTGGAGGGCAGGATCTGAACGAGAGGATGAACTTTCCTAATGTATGAACTGTTTGACAGGGGAACAGATTCCCTCAGGAGGTGATGGGCTTTCTTTCCTTGGAGATTTCTAAGCAGAGGTTGGGTAGCCATCTGTCATGGATGCTTTTGCTGAGATTCCTGCATTACAGAGAAGGAGGTTGGAGGGTGGATGGTGGCTAACAGTTTGAGGTTGAATCCTGACAAGACAGAAGTACTGTTTTTGGGGGACAGGAGGCGGGCAGGTGTGGAAGACTCCCTGGTCCTGAATGGGGTATCTGTGCCCCTGAAGGACCAGGTGTGCAGCCTGTGAGTCATTCTGGACTCAGAGCTGTCCATGAAGGTGCAGGTCAATTCTGTGTCCAGGGCAGCTGTTTATCAGCTCCATCTGGTATGCAGGATGAGACCCTCCCTGCCCGCAGACTGTCTCGCCAGAGTGGTGCATGCTCTAGTTATCTCTCGCTTGGACTACTGCAATGGGCTCTATGTGGGGCTACCTTTGAAGGTGACCCGGAAACTACAACTAATCCAGAATGCGGCAGCTAGACTGGTGACTGGGAGCGGCCACCGAGACCACATAACACCGGTCTTGAAAGACCTACACTGGCTCCCAGTACGTTTCCGAGCACAATTCAAAGTGTTGGTGCTGACCTTTAAAGCCCTAAACGGCCTCGGTCCAGTATATCTGAAGGAGCATCTCCACCTCCATCGTTCTGCCCGGACACTGAGGTCCAGCGCTGAGGGCCTTCTGGCGGTTCCCTCGCTGCGAGAAGCCAAGTTACAGGGAACCAGGCAGAGGGCCTTCTCGGTAGTGGCACCCACCCTGTGGAACGCCCTCCCACCAGATGTCAAAGAGAAAAATAACTACCAAACTTTTAGAAGACATCTAAAGGCAGCCCTGTTTAGGGAAGCTTTTAATGTTTAATAGGTTATTGTATTTTAGTGTTTTGTTGGAAGCCTTCTAGAGTGGCTGGGGGGACACAGCCAGATGGGCAGGGTATAAATAATAAATTATTATTATTATTATTATTATTATTATTATTATTATTATTATTATTAGGCTTGATGACGTTTCCAACTATAATTTTATGATTCTGTGCTGGCCTGATTGCAGCCAGTTCCTGAATGGGAGACCTAAGTAGCCTTCATCTACCGCCTTGAGTGGTCCCAGGTCCAATTTCTGGTATCTTCAGGTAGGTCTAGGAGAGACCTTTGCCTAAACCCCCAGAAAGTCGCAACCATTCTGTGACAGATAAAAACACTGAGCCGGATTGGCCAACTGCCAGACTCAGTAGAAGACAGCTTCTTCCTATGTTCCTCTGCAATAAATAAAATAAGCCATGCACCAGCTTGAGGTCGTAAATGTGTCAAACAGTCGCGTTGCAACGGCTGTTGCCTGGAGGACAGCAAAGACCACATTTACCAGCCATACTCCAAACAGGAAATAGCTGTGGTAGCCCACAGAACAACAGCAAATGGGACACTTCGGTCAAGAATCAGCCCAAGAGGGAGGCCACCTAGGGGTGACACGAAGAAACCAAGTGATGCAACAATCCACTATTTCATGGGGTGACCCCCATCTTCCTATTAGGAATGGTTCCTCCCATTGACCCTTCTGCCCATCTTCCCAGAGCCATTCATTGAATCAAGGCTCCTCAACTCCAACACTCTGAGTTGCAGGAATCTCAGCTAAAGTATCCGTTCCTTGAGGGCTTCATCAAAAGCCTTGTTTACAATGCAACCCCTGACCATTAGGTCCAGTCGTGGCTGACTCTGGGGTTGCGGCGCTCATCTCGCTTTATTGGCCGAGGGAGCCGGCATACAGCTTCCGGGTCATGTGGCCAGCATGACTAAGCCGCTTCTGGAGAACCAGAGTGGCTCACGGAAACGCCATTTACCTTCCTGCTAGAGCAGTACCTATTTATCTACTTGCACTTTGACGTGCTTTCAAACTGCTAGGTTGGCAGGAGCAGGGACTGAGCAATGGGAGCTCACCCCGTCGCAGGGATTTGAACCACCGACCTTCTGATCGGCAAGTCCTAGGCTCTGTGGTTTAGACCACAGCGCCACCGGCGTCCCATCCATACTTGTCTACTCAGGGGTAAAAAAACACACAATAACCATAGACTTGAATGGGATTGATTCCATGTCAATATGTATAGGATTTCAGCCTTCACGAAATATCCGCCTGTGGTTACATATATTGTGAACGATGAAAGCCAAGTCAGCATCTGAAAGCTCACGTCTTCTTCTCATGTGAGATGTTTCAGGAGACACCTGAAGTCCATGAGATGTTTGGAACATAGAATCATAGAAATTGCAGAGTTGGAATGGCAAACACTTCTTTGCAAACACACACACATTGCATTGGTTCATAAGAACATAAGAAGTAAAAGGCGAAAGTTTTATACGATGTGAAGAGAAACCAGAGTGTGGTCATGTAAGCTTTCTGGGAGATGACATATACAGTGGTACCTTGGTTCTCAGACTTAATCCGATCCGGAAGTCCGTTCCAAAACCAAAGCGTTCCAAAACCAAGCTGTGCTTTCCCATAGAAAGTAATGCAAAATGGATTGATCCGTTCCAGACTTTTAAAAACAACCCCGAAAACAGCAATTTGACATGGAATTTTCTATCTAACAAGACCATCGATCCATAAAATGAAAGCAATAAACAATGTACTGCAGTCACACAATCAATCAATCAATCAATCAATCAGTAGCTGAACTGGGTTCCACATAGTCACAAAAACAAAACAAAAAGAGCCACAAAAACAAAAACACAAAAGAAATAGCAAAAACAGACAGACCTCAGTGTAGCACTGAAATTGGAAGTGTGGCACTCTAAACGGAAACGTAACACTCAAAACGGAGCAGGTTTGGCTTCTGAAAAACGTTCGCAAACCGGAACACTTACTTCCGGGTTTGCAGTGTTTGGGTTCCAAGTTGTTTGAGTACCAAGGCATTTGAGGACCAAGGTACCACTGTAATTAAATGGAAAAAAATGTTTTAAATAACTTTTGTTAAAAAACCAGAAGCTTTTCTATTAGGAATTATAGGTACCGACATTCCAAAGGAGCAGAAAAGACTTGTTATGTATGCAACAACAGCCGCACAGATGCTACTAGCCCAGAGATGGAAAGAAGAAAGATTTGCCCAGGTGATCGACGTGATCTTGCAGCGCTATACGATGGCAGGGGAATCTTTCAGGTGACCTGGTCCTGAGTCGTTAATCGCAAGACCTTGAGCATATCTAGGGATGCCATAAGTCCAGAATTTCCTGGAAATAGCCAGGATTCATCCTTGAAAAATGGATAGAATATTCACATTTGTGTCCGGGTTTTCACTTCTTGAAATATGGCAACCCTAGCATATCCCAGTAGCTATCTGGCAGCTAGTGATATTCCTCCAGCACAGACATGATATTTGCCCATCCAAGTTCTCCATTCAGCAACTTGGCTGCAGCATCCGGACCAACCCCAGGGGAAGCCCCACACAGAGCACTTTACAGCAGTCTAATCATGAGGCTGGATGAATCACGGTGTAAAACAGCCATCAGCATGAATAACCCTACCCTTCCCTAAGAGCCGAGCTGAGTCGTCCTAACCATGACATCACCCTTCTTTAGTCCATCCTCCATCACATTTGTTAAAAGCACAGGATGAGACCTGGCCGAGTTGAACAACCCTGATAGTGCAATCTCCTGCATGTTTACTCAGAAGTAGGAAGAAATTCAGTTCGGTTCACCTTTTAGCCTCCCTAATTTGTACTTCCCAAAGGAAGCACCACACAAATATCCTTCAAAATTCGCACTTCTCTGAATTTTTCAGCATGGTTCTCCAACCCCCCAAAATTGTGTCCCCCAAAAAGTGTGTGTTAGGGGAAAGAGTCCATGAAACTGAATGTATTGGTGAAAGTAACATACAAAAATGTCATTCCAGGGGGAAGCAGAAATCTTATGTTGTTTTATATCAGGAGAGATGTACGTTAAATTCGCCTGAGAGTTTTTGTGAGTTTTTTAAATGTTTCGTTCGCAAACTGATGTAGAAGTGGAAGGACGGACATTTGACAGATTTGCCTCTCCTTCCTCAAAAGCAAGTCTCTGTGCTTTCAGTGGAGCTTACTCCCAGGTAAACGCATGCGTAGGATTGCAGCCCTGGCCCTCTTGATTTCAGCGGGCGAGACACCCAATACAGCCCTCAGTGTGTTTACTCCAAAGTCAGTTCCTCTGAGCCAAATTGGACTTTCTTTCTAGGAACTGTGCATGAGAGCGCAGCTTTAAGCCAATGTTCAGCTGCCTCACAGTGGGAAATTAATCAGTTGGCAAACTGCTGCCCTTGCTTAGCATAGCTGTCAACTTTTCCCTTTTCTTGCGAGGAATCCTATTTGGAATAAGGGAATTTCCCTTTAAAAAGGAGGAAAGTTGACAGCTATGTTGCTTAGACAGTGCCCCAGAGTTTTATTTTATTTTTCCTGCTGTTGAACGAAAAACAGAAAGGGAGCAACAGATGTTTCTCTTACGCCGTGCTGTAAGAGTATCCAGAACAAGTCGAAAAAATTCCCACGAGTTCCTTCCATCGGAGAGACGCCTGTGCCGATTCCCCTTTCCCTTTGATCCTATTCAGAGAAATCCTCTCCCATACTCACCTAGCGTTGTGGCAAAAGTGGCCGTGGTCAAATCCTCCCTCTCCGTTCTTCGCCAGAGGTGCTCAGCCAGTGAACCGCTGGCGCTCCTGAAAGAGGGGGTCTCGCCGTCCTGCGGCATTCAAGCGGACTCAGGCTCTCGGAAAGCCAAGAGGAAAGTTAAGTCACTGGAGGAGGGGTGGGAGAAGAGAGAGAGAGAGTTCACGAATGAAGAAACTCCTCGCAGATCAGCCTGCAGTAGATTGGATTCCTTTGCACTCATCTTCTGAAGCTCCTCCAAAGCATGTGAGCTTCGCTGTAATGATTTCAAAGCATGTGTCTCTCTCTCTGTGTGTGTGCGCTCCTCCAGTGCTCTTTATGTTCTGAATGCTCACATTTTTACAGCGGCCAGTTTCCTGGAGCATCTCGCGTGGGTGAGGACTTCTCCTCTCACATTGACACATACAAACAATCCTAAGAATGCCAGCTGAAATTCCCTCTTTGCAGATGTGCGTCCCGAGCAAAACGTCACCGCTTGGAGGTCGCAAAGATCGCTCGCCTGAGATACAGATGTGCGCTGCTGTGGGTGCCTGGGTCAAGTTGTGTTCATCTTAAAGCGTGGGGGTGGGGGTCAGGGGGTCGGGGAGAAGGAACAGCAGCCCCGCCGTGCAATAGACCCAGAGCAAATGGTCCAAAGGGGGGGGGGTGAATTGGCGATAATTCGTGCCTTCGCCCATGCAGCGTGGAAAGAAAGGGAATCTAACACTGCAACAGTTGTGTTTGGAATTTTTTTGGTGTGTGTGTTATTCAAAACTAGCTCCACAAGCGTAACAGTTTAGTCTGTAGTAGCAAAACAAAAAAAGGCAGTTCTAAACTGTTTTCATGAGGGATTCGAACACGAAACCAGATTCAGATTGCAAGATGAGAGCGGAGTTGGAGGTTTTGTGTAACAAACGGGCTCTCCGCCCCCAACCCCAACCCCCCCGCTCAAAGATCTGGCTTTTTGCATGAAGGGAAGTTTGCAAAAACTCCACTAGATAAGCATCGGATAGCAGTTGCTCGATGCAAGTGATGTTAATCTATGGAACTCTCTGCCACAGGAGGCAATGCTGGCCATCAGCTGGGATGGCTTTAAAAGAGGCTCTGCCCTGCCTCCATACTAAGAAGCAGCCATGCTTCTGAACGCCAGTTACTGGAAACCACAGAAGGGGAGAGGGCTTTTGTGCTTGTGGGTTTCGCGCAGACATCTGCTTGGCCTCTACGAGAACAGGGTGCTGGGCTGCATGGGCCATTGGCCTGATTCAGCAGACTGCTCTTATGCTCTTACGAGATGCTCTACCACTGAGCATGGCCCTCCTGCAATGCGCTAAGGGTTTTTTTTTTAACTTTTATTTTTTTACCAATCACCAAAACACAAACAGTGAAACCCCCCTGGTGGCTGATACATTGGGTATACAATATTCAATAATATACCGTATTTTTCGCTCTATAGGGCGCACCAGACCATAGAGTGCACCTAGTTTTTTGGGGGGGAAATAAAGAAAAATATATATTCCCCCCCCCAGCCCCAAAGAAGCCAAGACAGCCAGCGGGATCCATCCGGGCTGCACTCCCTGGGATTCGGGCTCCTGCCTGCTATCCACAAGCCTTCTGAGCCCGGCAGGAACTCCTGCCGCTCTCCAAAGGCTTGCGGATAGCTTCCTGAAGCCTGGAGAGGGAGAGGGGTCGGTGCACACCGACCCCTCTCGCTCTCCAGGCTTCAGCGAAAGCCTGCATTCGCTCCATAGGACGCACACACATTTCCCCTTCATTTTTGGAGGGGAAAAAGTGCGTCCTATAGAGCAAAAAATACGGTACATATTCAATAATATAGATATTCAATAATATTCAATAATAACATATTCAAATTAGCCATATGTACACTTCTATACACCTTAACACTCCTCCTTCCACAAGATTTATTTAACTTTTAACATTTTAATTGCCCCAAATTGTTCAAACCTATTCAAATAATTCAGTATCTTCTCAAACCAATCCTCTTTCTCACTGACCTTAAACCCTTTCATTCTATCTAGCTTCACAGTTAGGTATTCTAAAATTATAATATTATTCAGTTTTTTCCTCCATTGGTTCACCCCTAGCTCTTCTGCATTTTTCCAATTACTCGCTATAACCTGGCTGCAATTACCATCAATTTTACCCATTTAGATTCCTCTTTTATTTTTCACTCAGTACTACTCAGGGTAATAAGAACCATTAATTTAGTTATTTCCACGTTCCTTCCCACAATGCCCAATATTTCTATACCAATCTGTTTCCAAAATTCATTAACTAATGGACAATCCCACCACATATGACTGTACGTTCCCATCACTCCACATTTCCTCCAAAAATTCTTATTTCCATATTTTGTAATATGATATAACCTTACTGGTATATAATACCATTTTTGTACCAGCGTCAACCCCTGTTCCTGGATTGTCCTGTTGTTGTTGTTGTTGTTGTTTAGTCGTTTAGTTGTGTCTGACTCTTCGTGACCCCCTGGACCAGAGCACGCCAGGCACCTCTGTCCTCCAGTACCTCCCGCAGTTTGGTCAAACTCATGCTGGTAACCTCGAAAACACTATCCAACCATCTCGTCCTCTGTCGCCCCCTTCTCCTTGTGCCCTCCATCTTTCCCAGCATCAGTGTCTTCTCCAGGGAGTCTTCTCTTCTCATGAGGTGGCCAAAGTACTGGAGCCTCAGCTTCACGATCTGTCCTTCCAGTGAGCACTCAGGGCTGATTTCCTTCGGAATGGATGCGTTTGATCTTCTTGCAGTCCATGGGACTCTCAAGAGTCTTTTCCAGCACCATAATTCAAAAACATCAATTCTTCGGCGATCAGCCTTCTTTATGGTGGATTATCCTAGAGGTCGCTAAGGGTTTGACCTTAAGCCAACAGCAAGGTACGCTCCATCTTGAATTATATCCCTGCTCCTCATGTTGCAGGACTCAAAATCCAAGCATTACCTGGAGAGCTTAGCTAGGTGGACCAAGGGTCCAACTCTGTTATGGCAGCTTTCCATTTTCCTAGCATATTTCTAGGGCAGTGGTCTCCAGCAACTGGTACTCAGACGCAGGTAAAGGTAAAGGACCCCTGGATGGTTAAGTCCAGTCAAAGGCAACAGCAACCTGGGGTTGGTCCGGATGCTGCAGCCAAGTTGCTGAATGGAGTACTTGGATGGGCAAATATCACACCTATGCTGGAGGAACATCACTGGCTGCCAAAAAGCTACTGGGATATGCTATGGCTGCCATATTTCAAGAAGTAAAAACCCGGACACAAATGTGAATATTCTATCCATTAAGTACTTAATTTGTTCTGGAGGTCCGTTCTTAACCTGAAACAGTTCTTAACCTGAAGCACTACTTTAGCTAATGGGGCCTCCTGCTGCTGCCGTGCCGCTGCTGCACGATTTCTGGTCTCATCCTGAAGCAAAGTTCTTAACCCGAGGTACTCTTTCTGGGTTAGCGGAGTCTGTAACCTGAAGCGTATGTAACCTGAAGCGTATGTAACCCGAGGTGCCACTGTATATGTATGTGTTTTATATGTTAATAAAATAAATAAATAAATAAATAAATAAATAAATAAAGCGAGCTGATCCTTTGGGCATTGTTTTTGAATGCCTTTTGTGCTGGTATTCTGTTATGCCGACTGTTTTTTTGTAAGCCCAGTCATTTTCTTCTTATTCACTATTCCATTTATATCCCATATTTCCCCCCAAAGGAGATCAATGTAAACAGGGAGTTGAGCTTATTGTCACAACGACCCTGTGAGGAAGGCTAGGCTGACCCCCCCCACACACACACAGTAGCTGGCCTAAGTGAGCTTCAGAGGCAAACCGAGTCCTAACCCAAGACACAAATTCTTTTTCGTGAACACCACCGATTCATTTCAATGCATGAAGCAACTCTGCAGTTTGTGGAGTTCTCCAACCAATGGCTTTCTTGCTTTGCATGACCATTTTTTATTTTTTATTGTTTGCAGGGCTTGCAGCTTCGGTCTTCTAAGTCTTCGCTCCGTCTCAGAGTCCTGACCTCTGACCTCTGCCTGGACGATATCCTCTGCCTGACCCTTTAGCTTCTGTTCTTCTGTCCTCCTCAGTGAACTCTGCTGTGGACAGACTCCAAACCATATTTCTGGCACACTTCAGACCATCACACCTTCCTGTCCAAATCCCTTTTAAAAGCCATGCACCCTGCAATTCTCCCTGTGTTCTTAACCCAGATGTTTCCTTCTGCGGTCCCAGCAAGAAATCTTTGCACCACAGTCTTGTGGTGAGTGCGAAAGTTCAGATGTACAATTCCCGGCACCTAACAATGGCTCCTCCATTTATTTATGTGCTTATGTGTAAAGATCCAGGTCCTTTGTTTACTGGGAAGATCTATGTTTACTTTGGGACCCAATGTTCTATTTAAATCCAGTTTATCATTCAGAGGAAGTAATAGTTACCCCTCTGTTCTGCCTTGGTGAGACAGCACCTGCAACGCTGTGTCCAGTTCTGGGCACCACAATTTAAGAAGGATATTGACATGCTGGAAGGTGTGCAGAAAAGGTCTGGAAACCAAATCCTATAAATTAACAAGCAATACACTAGTAGCTCTTAAATAGCTTCCTGTGCAGATCAGAGGAATAAAATGTAAGCGGCAATCAGAGTTATAGCATTTGTGCTGCAACTTGAAACATTTCACCTCAGGAATTATCCCACTTAGTTCAGTGGGGCTTCTTCCTTGGCCAATGGGCACAGGATCTCATCCTCCAATATAATGAAATATTTCAATCAAGGAAAGTCTCCCTGCCAAATCAGCTAGGAGATTATTATTACAGTGGTACCTCTGGTTACATCCGCTTCATGTTACGTTCTTTCAGGTTACGTCCTGCGGCGACCCGGAAGTACCGGAAAGGCTTACTTCCGGATTTCGCGACTCGCGCATGCGCAGATGTGCAAAATGACATCACGCACATGTGCAGAAGCAGGGAATCATGACCCACGCATGTTGCACTCTTTTCATGTTGCAAACGGGCCTCCGGAACGGATCCCGTTCGCAACCAGAGGTACCACTGTATTTATATTTTTAAAAACCAGCCATTTTAATTATTTGCAATACATTTGGCACACACACAACCCCCCTCCCCAAAAAAACCACCCTGCATACGGTAACCTCCTTTTTAGAAGAGGCAATGCGTGTCTTCTAAATTGTGATGTGAGTATCATCAAACACCAAGCAAGGGGGTTGTTCTCTTAGGAATTATTTCATGCAGATGGATGGATTCAAACTGATACAATCAATCAGCTCTGGGGTTGTTGTTTTTTAATCTGCTGATGGTCTTAATATGAAGAATTAATGAATACAAATTGATCAGCCAGGGTTTTTCCCCTTCTTCAAATCAAGCGTCCATTACAGTAAAACGAGTCTGGCTGAAAGCAAGCCAATAAAAGACCAATTGATTGATGGCTGAATAAATGAGCTGAAATCGAACTCAGATGCAGCTGAGAGAGAAGCAGAGATTGGTTGGCAACGTACATAACTGGGTGTCTGGATCTGCCTTGACTCAATGAGATATATATATGCCAACTGCAAATGAGCTGATGGCCTGGTCCCCAGCGGATTACGATTCGGCCGAGAGCAGCCCAGTCTCCCAGACTTCGTTGTCCGTATGGCGTTTGCCTTCCAGATGTTTTACAGCTTGGAAAGACGTTTCTCATCCCCGAGAAATGTAAAGAATTTCTAAATAGGATTTTTTTAAAGGGTTCAGCCTGCGTTACTCAGCAGGCAAAGTTAGCAAGGGATGTGAGGGGGGATGAGAAAAGTTGGAGGTGGGTGGAGGGGAGGATCTAAAAAGGGAAAAGATTTGGCAGCCGGGCCGTTTCCACCCGTTCGGAAGTCACAAATGTGAGCCTTGTCTACATGTGCTCTGGCGCACAGACACACACAGATTTAATGTGGATTTTAATAAGCGCTTCATGCCTGCCCCCTAGTGGAAAGAGATGTGCCTTCTTTTGCTATGTTCAGGTAGATGGGTGTTTTCCAAACTTTGGACTACAATTCCCATCGTCCCTGGCCACTGCTAAGGATGATGGGAGTTGTAGTCCAAAAATGGCTGGAGACCCACCCAAATTCAGAGATAACAACAACAACAACAACAACAACATTTTATTTATACCGCGCCGTCCCCGTCCCCAGCTCAGGGCGGCTAACACCGAATATAAACCACAATAAAACGTAATAGAAAAAAAGAAAAAAGAAAAAAAACAGTTAATTAAAGTACGGCTTAAAATACGGCTTAAAATGCAGCCTCATTTTAGTTGTAGCCCATAAATCAAGACCATAAATGGAGGAAACCTCAGATATCCACCCGAGCCAGCTATCCATGCTGGTCCTACATGGGCCAGCAAAAAAGCCAAGGGAAAATTTATATACCAAATCCCATATAAGGAGTCAGTCCAAGCCGAAGGCCAGGCGGAACAGCTCTGTCTTGCAGGCCCTGTGGAAGGATGTCAAATGCCTTAGGGCCCTGGTCTCTTGTGACAGAGCGTTCCACCAAGTCGGGGCCAATGCTGAAAAGGCCCTGGCCCTAGTTGAGACCAATCTAACCTCCTTGAGGCTTGGGACCTCCAAAGTGTTGTTATTTATGGACCTTAAGGTCCTCCTCGGGGCATACCAGGAGAGGTGGTCCCATAGGTATGAGGGTCCTAGGCTGTAGATGGAGAGGATGGGCCATTGCCTGATCCAGGATGGGCCATTGGCCTGATACTTAACGGGAATCTTTTCATTCTCAGTAGCTTCTCCCAGATGCTGAACAGGTCAACGCAGGAGGCAGGACACAAAATCCTGTAAAGATGTCACACGTTGATTGCAAGATGGCAAACCAGTCAGTCAAACGGTGTCAAAGAACGTCAAAAACCGTCAAGTATTTTAACACATTCATTTTATTAGAGCCGGATGTGAACACACAGAAATACAGGGATATAGGAAGTTGTCTTATCCCAAGCTAGGCCACTGATCTGTCTAGCCTGTCTGCTGTTCTCCAAGGTTTCAGATGGAGTCCTTAACTTGAGACACCAGGAACTGAACCTGGGGCAATCTGCCAGGTGTTCCACCACTGAGCTATAGGTCTTCCCCAAAGGAAATTTGTCTTCACCTGAGGGCTGGGACCATAGCTCAGGGTTTAGGCTCAGCTTGCAGACGTTCCCAGGTCCAATCCCTGGCATCGCCCATCAGAAGGATCAGGTAGCAGGTGGGCCGCAGGGACTGTGCCAAAGATCGCAGCCGGCCATTGCTTGTCAAAATAGACATGACTGAAGGAGAGTTTCCACCCCCATCGTTCTGCCTGGACACTGAGGTCCAGCTCCGAGGGCCTTCTGGTGGTTCCCTCGCTGCGAGAAGCAAAGCTACAGGGAACCAGGCAGAGGGCCTTCTCGGTGGTGGCGCCCGCCCTGTGGAACGCCCTCCCATCAGATGTCAAAGAGATAAACAACTACCTAACATTTAGAAGACATCTGAAGGCAGCCCTGTTCAGGGAAGTTTTTAATGTGTGACATGTTAATGTATTTTTAATCTTTGTTGGAAGCCGCCCAGAGTGGCTGGGGAAATCCAGCCAGATGGGTGGGGTACAAATAATAATTTATGATGATGATGATAACTGAATTAGATGGGTAAATACCCTGACCTAATGCAAGGCTACTACTGTGTATGTTCAACAGATCAGCACCTGCCATTCTACATGGTTAAATACCTTATAAAGCTTCTTAAGGCAGACATCAAGCCTTCTATTATCTTTCGTATTTTCCTCTAAAAGTGATACTGCTCTACAAATAATGGCCCATTATTAAGGTTTTCCAGAAAGAACGTTTATAGATCTCACAGTCACGGAGATATGTCTGGATCAGACAGGTTGGCAGGGATGATTTCTCCTCCGGCACCTGCCATAGTGCAGCACTGCATCCCCCAAATTGCAGAAATACAGCACTGTGGCACATATTGCACAATTTTGGCCCCTCCTCTTCTTCTCCTCTCTTCCTGGTCTTAGCTTTCAGATTCACAGTGCTCAGTCCACCTGGCTGGGAGAAGATGGTGCAGAGCTATGGTAGCTGCATGTTCAAATCTCTCCCCCCCCCCTAAAAGGACTACAGGCAGAACACAGAGATCTCGTTCTCACTGAGGTGCTAAACATGGGTCCGTGATCTTTCCCGGACAAGTTATTGTTTCTACGTGGAAGGATGTTATGGACTGGTTGGACGCAGAGGAATGGTGGGAGGAACCAGCTGGAGAACCACCAAGGGAAGAAGGCTCAGAGCCAGATGATGGGATTGCAACGAGTGGTCAGAAGGAGAAGAGGGAGCAGACTAGGAACAGGAGGTGTCGGAAGGTGGAGGTGCAACAGGGCAAAGTGAGCTGGGAGAGTCGGTGACAGACAGCAGTCCAGAATCAGAGGCAGAAGGTGAAGTAGGCTAGTGGGTGGAGGGAGGCCAAGAGGGAGAGAGGAGTCAGGTTGGTGAAGAAGCGAGGGTGTCTCCCACAACAAGCTCCCCTCCCTGCTGGTCTCCCAGGACCCACCCAAAGAGGCATGAAGAGGGCGAGGCTGGGATCCAAGGGGGAATGCCTGTTGCGTCCTCCTCACGCTGCCCTACCAGCATGGGCTGGGAAGCTGAGATGAGGAGGAAGCAACAGGGCAGACAGGAGCCCTTCCAAGCATTCCGACTGATTTGCTGCAATGCTTTGCAAGACGTGGGATGGGACCCTGGACCCCTATGCGATGCCACGAGGGTCATCTAGCTCAAACTCCTGCAATGCCGGAATCACAACTAAAACCGCATTATTTCCCCAGCCCAGGAATCCTAAATATTGCCACGGGGCTAGAATCCTGCACACAGATTCCCATGCTGGTTCCATCCAGACCTTTCTCAGCAGCAAAACTGAAGCAGGCACAGAGGTGGTGGCCCGGATCGTGGCGATCAGCCACGGCTTTAAAAGAAACAGAATTTAGCGCATGGTTGTTCGCTATTTTCCCGCAGTTCTTCTTTGCCTTCTATCTCTTCAGGACTGTTTGCTGGGCTTGCTAGTGGACTTTCTCTTGGAATCCCTCAAGGCGGCTTTGATTTCTTGAGTCACTGTGTCCTGCCACGGCTGGCTGCAAAAGATGAGCGGCAAATAGGAAACCACCTCTCTGGTGGGGGGCGGTGGGCGATAAGGACTTTGCCAAACTAAAGCCCATTCGCTCCCCATGCCCAGAACAACCCGCCCTAGTATAAAAACCTGCTTGCACACTCAACAGTCGGAACTTCCTTGTCCCCAGATAACAGGAATTAATGTGCTTTATTTTGGAAGGTTTATGAGCTGTTTCATCCAAGGGTTGCCAACATGGCGTATGGCGGGGCCAATGGCGGCCACATACCACCCTGTAGTAATGAGCTTTCACTCTCTGGGAAAGTACCGTATTTTTCGCTCCATAAGACACACTTTTTCCCTCCTAAAAAGTAAGGGGAAATGTCTGTGCGTCTTATGGAGTGAATGTGTGGTCAATCGCTGGCTCCCTTTCCGGCCCCGGCCCCTTGGCCAGGCCTCCATTTTTGAATGTTCTGCAATGGAGGCTGTTTGTTTCCCCACCGACATGTGACTGGCTGATTAGTTTATCTGTCTGGAAACAGTAGAAAGGGCTCCCTTTCCTTTCCTATGGAAGCTGCAGAACTGTGAGTTGAACCCCATAAAAACAGGATTCTTTCCCTTTGCAAAGTAAGCTCAACAACTTTGAGCTGATCCTCAAAAAATGAGGCTTTTTCCCCTTTGCAAAAGAAGCTGCACAATTGTGAGCTGATCCTCAAAAAACCGGGGCTTTCCCCCTTTCCTCCTCTAAAAACTAGGAGCGTCTTATGGTCAGGTGCGTCTTATGGAGTGAAAAATACGGTACGTAGAGCTGAAGGAGGAAGTTGGAAGAACGACGCTCTTCCCTACTTCCTCTTGCGGCTCTATGGGCTTCTCAAGGCTCAGATTCATTCTAAGGGATCTGACTTTTGCCCACATTCCTTGGAAAAGTGACGTATGTGGTGTCCGCACACTTTTTGGTGGCTCCCTGATCAGGAAGAGAGGGTGTCGCCCACAGTTTTCTCTTTTTGTTAAGTGCTTTGAGGGGTTTGTTTGTTTGTTTGTTTACAATGTATAAATGTTAATAAATAAAAAATAAATATTTCGCTCATTCCAGTGCTACCTTTGAAGGTGACCTGGAAACTACAACTATTCAAGAATGCAGCAGCTAGACTGGTGACTGGGAATGGCCGCTGAGACCACATAACACCGGTCTTGAAAGACCTACATTGGCTCCCAGTACGTATCCGAGCACAATTCAAAGTATTGGTGCTGACCTTCAGAGCCTTAAACAGCCTTGGCCCAGTAGACCTGAAGGAGCGTCTCCACCCCCATCTTCCAGCCTGGACACTGAGGTCCATCTCCGAGGGCCTTCTGGCAGTTCCCTCCCTGCAAGAAGTGAGGTTACAGGGAAGCAGGCAGAAGGCCTTGTCGGTAGTGGTGCCCACCCTGTGGAACGCCCTCCCATCAGATGTCAAAGAGATAAACAACTACCTGACTTTTAGAAGACATCTGAAGGCAACCCTGTTTAGGGAAGTTTTTAATGTTTGATGTTTTATTGTATTTTTAATATTCTGTTTTGAGTCACCCGGAGGTCTGTTCTTAACCTGAAACTGTTCTTAACCTGAGGTACCACTTTAGCTAATGGGGCCTCCTATTGCCGCCGCGTCGCTGCTGCGCGATTTCTGTTCTCATGCTGAAGCAAAGTTCTTAACCTGAGATACTATTTCTGGGTTAGAGGAGTCTGTAACCTGAAGCGTATGTAACCTGAAGCGTCTGTAACCTGAAGTGTCTGTAACCCGAGGTACTACTGTGAATTTGTGTGTGTGTGTTGTTGTTGTTGTTAAAGCCCACAACTGTACTCACCCTGGTTTCACTTCAGGAGGACGTGGTAATGGTTTGGTGAAGCCCTTCTTTCCTACCAGCCAATAGGTTTCTTCTAACCCTTTGCCCTACAAGCATGGAAAAGGGAGACCATCAAAAACTCACTGGAAAGGTCAGTGCAATTTTGCAAATAATAACCAGAAGTCTTCCGACTGGGAAGTGCAGATGTGTTCGGCCCAGCAAAGTAACTGCACAAGCACAACAAATCCTGCATGTGCAACAGAATTTCCCCCAGTCCCCCTGTATACCCGGGAACCCCCAAAATCTGCAGATCTGCCCTGGGGGTTCCCCAACCCTCCAGATCAGATTTGGAGAAGTACAGAAGGAGGAGGAGGAAGAGGGCACCTTGTATGGTGCATAAAAGGTAAAGGGAAAGGGACCGCTGACCATTAGGTCCAGTCGTCGCCGACTCTGGGGTTGCGGCGCTTATCTTGCTTTATTGGCCGAGGGAGCCGTTATACAGATTCTGGGTCATGTGGCCAGCATGACTAAGGCGCTTCTGGCGAACCAGAGCAGCGCACGGAAACGCCGTTTACCTTCCCGCCAGAGTGGTACCTATTTATCTACTTGCATTTTGACGTGCTTTCGAACTGCTAGGTTGGCAGGAGCAGGGGCTGGGCAACGGGAGCTCACCCCGTCGCAGGGATTCGAACCACCGACCTTCTGATCGGCAAGTCCTAGGCTATGTGGTTTAACCCACAGTGCCACCCAGGTCCCTGTGTGGTGCATAGGAAGGGGCAAGTCCATCAATTTCACTTTCTTTCAGATCCCCATTTCTACATCCGCTTGCATAATTTTTTAAGCCATCGTGAAAATTCATCAACCTTTTAGTGCAAATTTCTCCTGGCATAAATACATTTCTGTGCATTTTGGCCCAAGAGACCCGTTTTTGCAAAGCCATTTTCCCATATTATACGTTATGTTCACTATTAGATGCATTTTTTAAATAATAATTTATTATTTATACCCCGCCCATGTGGTTGGGTATCCCCAGCCACTCTGGGCGGCTTCCAACTGAATATTAAAAACAATACAGCACGCTGGCATGTGCATTTTTGCACACATTATCTGACTGGAGAACTGCTTTGCAAAATTCGGAGAGGTGTGAATTTCAAAGAACGGCTGTGTTTTGGTTCAGGTATCATTTCGGCAATCAAAATATTCCATAGGTTGGTCTTCAAATGCAAACTGAATTGAATTCCTCCTCCATCCCGAGTGGAAGTCGTTCTACTTGTACACTTCATGCTGAACAGCCTTTCCTCCACCTGGTGACCTGCAGATGTCTTGGACTAAGATCTAGTTTCCCCTCCTTCTCCTTACATCTCATTTAAAGATCTCTGTGAGATCTGCATTGGCTCCCAGTACGTTTCCGAGCACAATTAAAAGTGTTGGTGCTGACCTTGAAAGCCCTCTGAACAGCCTTGGCCCAGTAGACCTGAAGGAGCATCTCCACCCCCATCGTTCAGCCTGGAAACTGAGGCCCAGCGCCGAGGGCCTTCTGGCGGTTCCCTCATTGTGAGGAGTGAGGTTACAGGGAACCAGACAGAGGGCCTTCTCGGTGGTGGCGCCCACCCTGTGGAACACCCTCCCTTCAGATGTGAAGGAAATAAGCAGCTATCCTATCTTTAAAAGACATCTGAAGGCAGCCCTGTTCAGGGAAGTTTTTAATATTTAACACTGTACTGTTTTTAACACTTGACTGGGAGCCGCCCAGAGTGGCTGGGGAAACTCAGCCAGATGGGTGGGGTATAAATAATAAATTATTATTATTATTATATTAAAGCTGATCTCTACCAGTCCAGGGACCTTTCGGTCCACCAAGCTGAGTGTTGCCTCCTCTGGTTGGCAGTAGCTCCTCCTGGTTCTCCAACAAAGCTTTCCCCCATCATCTGCTTTCTAAGACCATATAACACAGCCTTTCTCAACCTGTGGGTCCCCAGCTGTTGTTCAACTACAGCTACCATCACCCCTAGGTGGCAAGGCCAGAGCTCAGGGATGATGGGAGTTGTAGTCCTACATTGGCTCCCAGTACATTTCCAAGCACAATTCAAAGTGTTGGTGCTGACCTTTAAAGCCCTAAATGGCCTCAGCCCAGTAGACCTGAAGGAGCGTCTCCACCCCCATTGTTCAGCCCAGACACTGAGGTCTAGCGCTGAGGGCATTCAGGCGGTTCCTTCATTGCAATAAGTGAGGTTACAGGGAACCAGGCAGAGAGCCTTCTCGGTAGTGGCGGCCGCCCTGTGGAAAGCCCTCCCATCAGATGTCAAAGCGATAAACAACTACCTGACATTCAGAAGACATCTTAAGGCAGCCCTGTTCAGGGAAGTTTTTAATGTGTGACATTTTAGTGTATTTTTGGTCTCTGTGGAAGCCGCCCAGAGTGACTGGGGAAACCCAGCCAGATGGGTGGGGTACAAATAAATAATAATAATAATAATAATAATAATAATAATAATAATAATTATTATTATTATTATTATTATCCAGCAACATCTGGGGACCCACAGGTTGAGAACTGCTGATCTAACAGGAGATGCTGGAGATTGAACCTGAGACCTCCTCGGTCCTTTTGCCCGGGGTTCCATGTGTTCAGAATTTCCCAGACTTATCCGGGATTTATCTGTCGGAAACAGCGCCTGGGCGGAATTTCCGAAAATCAGTAAAAATGTCTGGGGAAACCTAGGCATATGGCAACCCATGTCAGAAGTGTTGGTTTTTGGAGCGAGTTTCCTAAAATGAAATGAACCTTCTGCATTCACAGCAGATGTCCTGTCTGCAACCTGTGGCCATTCTCTATTTTTGATGGTTGGTGTTTGTGCAGATGAACAAAGGATACTGCCTTCTAATAGAATCAGTCTAGAGCATAGTTGTCAACTTTCAGATTTGAAAATAAGGGATCAGCAGCCTCCCCTGTCCTGGGGACAGTCTATGGGATATCTAACAATCCGGGATAGCAGCAGGAAGCAGCGGGAAACGGCGCTGGAATAAGGGTAAAGGTAAAGGGACCCCTGATCATTAGGTCCAGTCATGACCGACTCTGGGGTTGCGGCGCTCATCTCGCTTTATTGGCCAAGGAGCTGGTGTACAGCTTCCGGGTCATGTGGCCAGCAGGACTAAGACGCTTCTGGCGAACCAGAGCAGCGCACGGAAATGCCATTTACCTTCCCGCTGGAGCGGTACCTATTTATCTACTTGCACTTTGACATGCTTTCGAACTGCTAGGTTGGCAGGAGCAGGGAGCGAGAAACGGGAGCTCACCCCGTCGCGGGGATTCGAACCGCCGCCCTTTTGATTGGCAAGTCCTAGGCTCTGTGGTTTAACCCACAGCGGGAATTTCTTGCAAAAAAACAGGAAGGTTGACAGCGATGGTCTAGAGTCAGCCTACACCAGGGGTCAGCAAACTTTTTCAGCAGGGGGCTGGTCCACTGTCCCTCAGACTATATATTTTTTTTGGGGGGGGGGAATGAACAAATTCCTATGCCCCACAAATAACCCAGATGCATTTTAAATAAAAGCACACATTCTACTCATATAAAAACACGATGATTCCCGGACTGTCCGCGGGCCGGATTTAGAAGGCGATTGGGCTGCATCTGGCCCCTGGGCCTTAGTTTGCCTACCCATGGCCTACACTGACTGGAAGCATCTCTCCAGGGTGTTGGGCAGTGAACATGTGCAGCCCTGCCTGGGGGCTGAACCTGAGACCTTCCGCATGCCAAGCATATGTTCCGTCACTGAGCTTTGGCCCCTTGTTGCTCTATCACTCCCCTGAAAGCGAAAATGTTGTCTTTGGCAAGGCAAGAAGGTTGGCCAGGAGATAAGGGCCTTCCAGACAGATGTCTCCTTCCAGATCCGATTCCTTACCTTCAGCTCCGTCTTCCCCCTGAATTCTACTTTATAACCTTCATTTAGGCTCTTCAGGGTTTTCATGGTGTTTCGGCTGATGTGGATTCTGTACGCTGCCATTTTTATTTTTTTTAAGAAAAGGGGGAAAGGAAGAAAAGTTTCAACTTCAGATCTTTGTCACGTTTCCAAGTGTCAGAGTCTACCTGTCGGGACCGGCCCACCCATCAGCCTCGCTGAGGCAGTCGCCTCGGGCGGCAGTGTCACGGCTAAAATGGCCGCTGTTTCTTTAATGCTTAAAAAGCAGGGTCAGCATGAGTCAGCGGCCTGCACCGGGTTGTATATATAGAGTGAGAAATGTTAGTTTGGTTGGTTAGTGAAAGCTGGTTGTGTTGATGTGTGTACAGTTGGTCAGTCGCTTTTGCACAAAGACTTTTAAGAATAAAAGCAGAAAGTGCTCTGCAAGGATATTCTTGTGGATTCTTTTATGCTGACAAGGGTCTGAGGACCAGGCTGAGGAGACAAAGGGAGGTCAGAACCTTTTTTTTTTTTTTTACAAACACTGACAGGTTATGGGCCCAGTGTTTCTGAGCATGTGCAGAGTGCAAAACGACTGACAGCATATCAGCAGGGAGCTGGTGAGTCCTGGTGGTGTATGGAGCCAGTGGCTGTGCGTTGGAGCAGTTGGTTGCAAGCTGTAATTGTCTGCAGCGACGCTGGAGCGGCTAGGATCTGAGGATCAGGAAAGCACTCAGCGTCGGCTACTGGAACAGTTTGAACTGTTAGAGGACCACAGTAGGCGACTCACAGAGCGGCTACACCAGTTGCAGAGCCAGGCAGGAGAAAAGCTGGGTGGGGTGGCAGATCTGTCTTTGCCGCACCTTCTTTGGCTGAGGAAAGGAAACACCGCCATCTTAGTCTCCCCCTAACTCCCTCCACCAACTCAGAAAGAGCCACCTGCCTGGGCAAAGACATACCACATATGAAAAAAACCCAATCTTTTTATATGCAACAACAGCTGCCACGGTAGTGACTGCTACTAAATGGAAATCTCAGGACATACCAACCAAGGAAGAGTGGATTTGTGAGTATATAGAATTGGCAAACTTAACTTCGATTGTAAGATATCGATCAAATCAATAGTTAAGAATGGAGTGGAAGTCTTTCGAAGGTTATACGTCAAAATATTGTTCTAAAAATGACATGTTAGTAGGCTTAGAATAAAAAGTGCGAGCTGTAACAAAACAAAGAAAGAAAGAAGGAAAAATCAGAATTTAACAAAAGTAATTTATTATAGAATGCAAGGGGGGAAAGGTGGGAAGAAATATATGGAAGTCGAATTGCTGTGGAGGGAAGTAGAGGGTGGGTGGTGGGTTTTATAATTAAGTGTATAATTATGCAAATGTTGTAATTTAGATATTATATTTTACGTGAGGGAATCATTGGGAATTTTGGTTATTATGTATATACGTTAAGATTCAATAAAGATCTTTGAATTTTTTTTTTTAAAAAGGAAGAGCCACCTGCCCACCGAGAATTGTCACCTCCTCCTCTGCTTCTCTGAAGGTCCCTGAGGAGACCATCACTTGCCACCTGAGATGACCAAGGCCGCTGCCGCCATGGCTGCTCCTTTCCACCCTCCGTTTTCATACCCCTGAACTGTACCCAAAAAACCGGGACATCCCTTTTTTCACGCGAGATCTTGGCACCCAAAATGGCCGCCGCAGCCTTGGCCCCCCCAAAAAGCTTTTTTTCAGGGCCGTAATCTTGTATGGGGTAACATGACTGTTATGTACTGAGTAGAACAGGATCCAAAATGCAGCAGTCTGATTGGTCCTAGAACAATAGGATTCAGAATGCAGCAGTCTGATTGGTCCTAGAACAATAGGATGCAGAATGCAGCAGTCTGATTGGTCCCAAAACAATAGGATCCAGAATTCAGCAGTCTGATTGGTCCACAGGAGCCACCCAATCCAGCTCCAGGTGGAAGTGAATCCGCAACCTGATTGGCCTACAGGAGAATCCCGGAATTAGCCAATCACGTGGGGTCCATTGTATAAATAATATATATAAAGCAGACATTCTGGGGGAACTTCCATTCCTCCTCACCACTATGAGCTGAATAAAGAGCATGAAATCCACTCTCGACTCTGAATATATTTCAATGACTTGTGCAGGCGTGCTGCCCAGGAAGATGGCGTCCTGGTTTTTATCCGTGACGTGTTGAAGGGTTTGCTTTTTTCTCTCTCCCCTGCTGCCTTCATCACACAACTGCTTCCCTGGGCTGCATCCAGTCACCTCGGCTGGCGACGGAGAAGGCAGGGACGCCATCTTGTTTTGCCTCAAGTGGCAAAATGGCTTGGGCCGGCCCTGCCGTTGGTGCCTATTTTCGAAAAGCACCAATAGAGGTGGAGCAGGAATTGGTAGGAACTTCGGAAGCTGCCATTTACTGAGTCAGACCATTGCTCTATCTCTCTCACTGCTGCCTGCACTGACTGGCAGAGGCTCTCTAGGATTTTGGGCGTGGAAACTTTCTCATCACTTCCTGGGGTTGCCAGGGAAGGAATCTGGGGCCTTCTGAAGAAAAGCAGGTGTTCCACCACTGATTTATGTAGGTCTTTCCCCATCCAAGAGAGGCCTAATCTATCTCTGAGGATGTTCCACTGGCAGGAAGAGCTGCTTATTCAATCATTCAGACAGGCCTTTGGCCAACGGGTTGAAATGTGTTTAAAAAATTGGTTTTAACATCGTTTTTATGCATTGGTTTAATCACTTTGTTTCCCCAACTTCCTCCCCAAGGAGCCTAGAATGGCCAACAGCCAGAGAACAATACAATTGCAATACAATGAAAATATTCAAAACATTCTAAAGCAGTTAAACTACACACATGCCCCCACAGTTAATTATTGCAGCTCACTGGGAACGTTTTTCGATTCTCCCGGAGTGATCTACCTCAATTGTACATAAGAACACAAAGAGAGCCTGCGAGATCAGGCCAATGGTCCATCTATACCAAGAAAAAAGCACACCAAGAACTCAGGCCAATACAGTGGTGCCCCGCAAGACAAATGCCTCGCAAGACGGAAAACCCACTAGACGAAAGGGTTTTCCGTTTTTGAGTTGCTTCGCAAGACAAATTTCCCTATGGGCTTGCTTCGCAAGACGAAAACGTCTTGCGAGTCTTGCAATTTTTTTTCGCTCCCCCCTTTTTCTAAGCCGCTAAGCCGCTAATAGCCTTTTAGCCGCTAAGCCGCTAAGCCTTTAATAGCCGCTAAACCGCTAAACCGCTAATAGCGCTAATCCGCTAAGCTGCTAATAGGGTTGCTTCGCAAGACGAAAAAACCGCTAGACGAAGAGACTCGCGGAACAGATTAATTTCGTCTTGCGAGGCACCACTGTATAAGTTTCAGTAGTGGGAGTGGTTCCTACTCGCAAATCAATAGTCGATTGTAACAAAAACTAATCCATTCAAAAGGCCTTGCGTGAGAACGTTTTCAGTACAGTGGCACCTCGGTTTTCGAACAGCTTAGTTCACGAACAACTTAGAACCCAAATGCTGCAAAGCCGGAAGTAGGTGTTCTGGTTTTCAAACTTTTTTTTGGAAGTTGAATGTACTCCGTTTTGAGTCCCCCCTGTGTTTCCTGTTGCGCTGCTAATTTGCATCCCCCCATTGTAAGTCAAGCCTTCCGTTTCCGAATGCAGTGTTCTGAGGTGATATTTGGAGCTTATATTTGGTGCTTTTGTTTTTGCTATTTCTTTTGCGTCTTTTGTTTTGAGGCTTGTTCAGTTAATTTGTTTTTGTGACTGTGTGGATCCCAGTTCAGTTGCTGATTGATTGATTGATTGATTGATTGACTGACTGATTGTGTGCTGCAGGAATGGATAAAAGCCTCCCTCCCCCGAGCCAAACAATGACTATCATTAGTGCGGGTAAGAAATTATCATCATTATCATCTACAATACTGTTTTATTTATTTTATAGTACAGTACATTGATTATGGGACGCGGGTGGCACTGTGGGTAAAAGCGCCTAGGGCTTGCCGATCGAAAGGTCGGCGGTTCGAATCCCCGCGGCGGGGTGCGCTCCCGTTGCTCGGTCCCAGCGCCTGCCAACCTAGCAGTTCGAAAGCACTGCCGGGTGCAAGTAGATAAATAGGGACCGCTTACTGGCGGGAAGGTAAACGGCCACGTGACCCGGAAGTGTCTCCAGACAGCGCTGGCCCCCGGCCTCTTAAGTGAGATGGGCGCACAACCCTAGAGTCTGTCAAGACTGGCCCGTACGGGCAGGGGTACCTTTACCTTTTACATTGATTATACTTTCATTTTAAGGAGCAATGGTCTCGTTAGATAGTAACATTCATGCTAAATTGCTGTTTTAGGGGTTGCTTTTAAAAGGTTGGAACGAATTAATCCATTTTGCATTGCTTCCTATGGGAAAGCATGCCTTGGCTTTGGAACGCTTTGGTTTTGGAACGGTCTTCCAGAAAAAGATTAAGTTTGAGAACCAAGGTATCACTGTGCTTGTGGCCAAGCCAGCATTTGCTAAAAAAAAAACAACCCAAGAAGACTTACGCAACCCGGTGGACTCTATCCGCGAAGCTGTATTCACCGTGTCCCCAAAGAGACAGTAGCGTGGCATCGTGAGACCCACCACCCCAGCAGCGCACGGACCTAGAAAACAGAAATGCATTGGGTGAAAGTGGAATGGATATGAGCTGCACCAGATATTGAAACACAGGAATCCTTAGTCCATCTAGCTTTCTAATGCCAACACTGACCGGCAGAGGCTCTCCCTGGCTTCAGACATGGGCACTGGTGCCAATTCTATGGGCCAAGGTGTCTTCGGCCCCCTCAAGCAGTGGCGTAGCGTGGGGGTGCAGGGGGGGCCGGCCGCACCGAGCGCAACATCTAGGAGGCGCGCTCGCCACCTCCGGAGTCGCCGAAGAGCCTCGGGCGCAGGCTGTAGCAGAGCACCATGTCTCGGCAGAACCGACGAGCTGGCAGCGGCTCTCAGCGCTCGCTGCGGTCCCCATGCGTCAGGGCCGTGGAGGGCGTGCCAGGCAGCCCCTCCTCACAGCCCCGCCGCCGCTGCTGCAGCGGCTGGGCCATGTTGCATTTTCCTCGCCTCTCTGCCCTCCTCCTCCTCCAGGCAAACGGCGTCGATTGGGCGGCAGCGCCAGCGGCAACTCGCCTCAGATCACCTGAAACGGACCCGCCGCCGCCACCGTGGCTACCTTACCGTAAATACCCCAGCCCAGGCAGCAGCAAGAAGAAGCTGGCAGCGGCGGCAGGTTAGGGGTTAGGGGGCGCAAATTACTTGCCTTGCCCCGGGTTAGGGGGCGCAAATTGCTTGCCTTGCCCCGGCTTAGGGGGCGCAAATTACTTGCCTTGCCCCAGGTGCTGACAACCCACGCTACGCCACTGCCCTCAAGATCTGTGGGGAGGGTCCCTTCAATGCTGAGGGGGTGGAAGGGGTCAAGCGTGGAGCTGAGAATGGTGTGTTTTCAGCGACTGGACCCTCCTGAGTGCAAGAGAGGAGGCCACTCCACGCTGGGCTCCCCACTCGGCCTCCTCCCAGCGATGTGACACACATCACGCACATGTCACGCATGCACATCGCACACATGACACCACACCAGCACCAGGTCCCCTCAATCTTGGGTGCAAGTCTTCAGATCTGGACGCGGGTCTTTCCAGCCCTGCCCAGCAACACCAAGGATTGGAACCGGGGCCTTTTGCTTGCAAAGCATGTGCTCTAAGGTCCATTTCCCCTAAAAATAAAGCAAGAATCCGCAAAGAAAAAGCTATGGATAAATGGGCTATTGATTTCGGCCATAATATCGATTTTGATGCGTGGCAAGAACTATGGAATGTAAACATGAAATTTGCGGCTTGTACTGCTTTAAAAGAGAATTTGTGGGAAATGGTCTACAGATGGCATCTAAGGCCGGTAAAGCTAGCAAGGATATATAGAACAAAAAATAAGAAATGTTGGAAGTGTGGAGAGGTAGAGGGTGACCTCTACCATATGTGGTGGACCTGTAGTAAAGTGAAGGGCTTTTGGGAACTAATCTATAACGAACTTTAAAAAATCTTTAAATATACTTTCCCAAAAAGACCTGAAGCTTTTCTACTGGGATTGATTGGAATGGAAATTGAAAAAAAGATAAAAAACCTCTTTTTATATGCCACGACAGCAGCCAGAAATATGTTAGCTCAGAATTGGAAACCAAACGTAATACCGAATATAATGGACTGGCAGGTTAAAATGATGGACCACGCAGAACTGGCCAGACTATCAGGAAAATTAAGAGATCAGGACAAGCAGAAGTTTCAAGAAAATTGGAGTAAATATTTGATGTATATAAGAAACAATTGTAAATCTTTGAAGACACTGGTAGGGTTGGAATAACTCTTACAGCGTGTAGTTGATAATAAGATATATAGAGTACGTGATATTAGAACTTTATTTGATACTTACCAAAGAAATGGAGGGAAGTCAGAGGCATGATAGAGCCTAAGTTAAATATTTAAGCTATATATGTGTATTTATGAATGTATGTATGTGTACTGAAAATCAATAAAAATTTAATTTGCAAAATGAATCTGCAAAGAAAAAGAAGGAACATTTTATCACATGTGGTGGGAATGTATAAAAGTGAAAAACCTCTGGGAAATGATATATAATGAGATGGAAAAAATGTTGAAATATACATTTATTAAGAAACCATAAGCATTTTTACTTGGCATTGCAGGTGATGATATAAGCAGAAAAGATTGTAAGTTATTTTTGTATGCAATGACGGCAGCAAGAATATTATTGGCACAAAATTGGAAGCAAGAAGAGTTACCGACGAAAGAAGAATGGAGGACGAAAATGATGGACTATGCAGAATTAGATAAACTAACAGGAAGAATTCAAAACCTGCGGGACCAGAGATTCTCAGAAGACTGGAGTAAATTTACAGACTACTTGAAAAGTAATTGTGATGAACAGATAATGCTAGTAGGTTTGCAAGAGGTTTTGTAAGGCGAATTATTTGAAATATTGCAAAAAAGATAATGAGGAGAATTGTTAGTTAAAGATAATTAAAGGTAATATGAAATTAAGAAATGCATAATAAGTGATAAGAATGGAAAATCATCAGAGGTGTTGGCGGAAGTCCAAAAATTATTGTATAAGATGAGACGTTTTGTTGTATGAATAATTAATATGTTAAAACTAATAAAAATGTGTGTGTGTGTGTGTGTGTGTGTGTGTGTGTGTGTGTGTGAAAAATAAAACAAGAATCCATGGTTTGGAATAAAGAGCTGGATAAAAGAGGACCGTTCAATGTTGTAAACCAGCCTGTGATCTTCAGACAGAGGTTTCCCCCAGCCCTACCTAAAACATCAGGAATGGAACTGGGACATTCTGAGCTCCTTGTTTGTTACATTTATGGACAACTCCCCCCCCCCACAATACTTTCCCCCCAATTAGCATTGGAGCATAATGATAAGACGATTGTTTAATCTTTGATGGTTGGGTAATTTCAGAAGGGGCCGTGGCTGTGGGAGGAGAGTGGCTGTGAATTTCATGAAGGCACCCTGCGCTTCTGAATTTTTGTCCCTATTTTGCTGTCTGTCACAAATCAGGCATGTCACCGGTTAAACGTTCTCAGCTGCTAAACACCGCAGCTCTTAAATGCTCTCCAATGCTCAACAGTGTCACACGCCAAACTGTCAGCTTTCGGATATCAACCCAGATTTGGTGGAATGTCAAATGCAGACACCAGCTGTTCGGAGTGTGTGTGAACATTCAAGCCGCCGTACAAATTTCCACCGCTGGCTGGAAGTCAGACTCAAAACTCTTTACAATTCCTGGCAAAGTCTCAGACCACCCAGCCTCCCCCCCTCCTTTGGGGGGGGGGAACTGGAGATCTGATTAACTAATCCACCAGACGAGCTGTGTTTTTCTGTCTGTTATCTTATCCCTGAGTGACAGCTTCATCCTTTCCAGAGGTAGTCCAGAAAACAGAAAATCCAAGCCATTTTGTCAGGGTTCCCTCCCCAACCCCATGTTGAGAAATACGGTGCTTATGAACACCCACACGACACACATGGCAGTCTGAAAATTATACTGCCGTTATACATATCTATGGGGTGACCGCACTTGGGACACTGAACACAATTTTAGGGGTTGGATAGCCATCTGTCATGGGTTGAGATTCCTGCTTTGTAGGGGGTTGGACTAGATGTCCCTTCCAACTCTATGATTCTAGGGAAACAGTGATCAAGGGGCTGGATCAACTCCCTTGTGAGGAAAGGTGGCAACATTTAGGGAAGCTTCATATCTTAAAAAGAACTTCATATCTTAAAAAGTCCTTCCTTTTGTCTGTCCTTAATCTTCCAACAGTGAGAGATTTTACTTTCTTGGGCTCCATGATCACTGCAGATGGTGACAGCAGCCACGAAATTAAAAGACACCTGCTTCTTGGGAGAAAAGCAATGACAAACCTAGACAGCATCTTAAAAAGCAGAGACATCACCTTGCCAACAAAGGTCCGTATAGTTAAAGCTATGGTTTTCCCAGTAGTGATGTATGGAAGTGAGAGCTGGACCATAAAGAAGGCTGATCGCTGAAGGATGGATGCTTTTGAATTATGGTGCTGGAGGAGACTCTGGAGAGTCCCATGGTCTGCAAGAAGATCAAACCTCTCCAATCTTAAGGAAATCAGCCCTGAGTGCTCACTGGAAGGACAGATCCTGAAGCTGAGGCTCCAATACTTTGGCCACCTCATGAGAAGAGAAGACTCCCTGGAAAAGGCCCTGATGTTGGGAAAGATGGAGGGTACAAGGAGAAGGGGACGACAGAGGACGAGATGGTTGGACAGTGTTCTCGAAGCTACAAACATGAGTTTGACCAAACTGCGGGAGGCAGTGGAAGACAGAAGTGCCTGGCGTGCTCTGGTCCATGGAGACACGAAGAGTCGGACACAACTAAACGACTAAACAACAACAATCTTCCAACATTCACCTTCACTGGAGTTCTAGTGTTATGAGAGAGGAAGGGAAATTTTCTCTAATACACTTTCTCTATGGCACGTCAACTTTTAAACAAGCCATCAGCCCCTGCCCCACCCCTTGGTGCAGGAGTGTTCTCCCTTGTCCAGACAGCCTCCATCAGGTGACTCTTGAGAGCAACAGGTTTCCAAGATGCAGCTCGGATGTCTAATTAGGTCAGGTTTCTCCTCCATGGACTCCTCCTTGTTGTTTTTCCTCACCCCAACGGCTGCTTGCCAGAAGCGCTAGATAGGCTGATGAGGCATGTTAGCTAATCTTCTGCAATAACCATCAATGATGCCAGGGGGAACCTACAAACTCAGAGCAGTGCTGGGTGGCTACAGGCCAAAGATTTCAAGGTCTTGACAAACAAACACCCATCTGGGCCCCTCTGCTTGGAAAAGTAACTCCTTCTCCTCCTCCTTCTTCTCCTCCCCTTTCTCTTCCTCACTTCTCCTTCTCCTCCTCCTCTCCCTCTCCGTCTCTGATGGCCTGGGACTCGGACTCGGAACCAGAGGAGTCTCAGTCTGCACCAGATCCTTTGCCTCAGGCATCATCTGAACCAAGTCTGGGTCCTGATCCTGAAGAGTCCCAGTCTGCACAGATTCTCCTGAAACAAGCACCAGCTGGGCCGGGTCAGGGGCCTGAGCCTGCCCTGGCTCCAGATGTGGGGATGACCTCGTTGACTCCAGCTGGGCCATCACTTACAGCTGCTCCACTACCGGCTTGGTCAGGGGAGGCTGAGGCGGCCCCTGGGTCTAGTAACCCACCGACGTCTCCCGAGCTGCAGAGACTGAGGTCTGAGAGAAGGAGAGACCTGAGTACTCGCAGGAGGAGTGCTCACCGTCGGGCAAGACAGGGAGGTGAGTCGCCAGGGGATCAGGACCGGCCGCTACCCCGACAGAGATAAAAGGCTGTCAGACCTCGCCCCAGGTTGCGGGAGCAACATTGCTGTATGCTAGATCCTGCCTGAGATCCTGTACCTGTCCTTGCCTGGTTTCCTGCCTCGTGTCCTGCCTGCCTCCTGGTGGAACCCTTGGATTCGGGACCAGACCTGGACCGCGTCGCTCGGGTTATTCCCAGGCCCAGCACACCCTCTCCTTCTCCTTCCCCTCCCTTCTCCTCTCCCCCCTCTCTCTCTCTCTCTCTCTCACACACACACGGCTTTCTCTCCGTGTTTAGGTCCAGCCTGAATTACTTCTAAGTTAGCTCCTTTCATTGGCGAGATAAAGCCACAGCATGTCAGGAAGGAACATGGGGAGGCAAGCTGAGCTCACCCACCCAGGAAAAAACTCTGAATTGGAGAAATCTCAGTGGATCCAGTTCTGGCTGGTTATGCCAGAGCCCAAAGAGGACAAGAACTCAGCAGCGCTGCACATCCTACAAACCAACAGCTTTTTGTCGTTGTTGCAGGTCCCACCTGAGCTTTGTCTCTGGCAGGAGTCTTCAATCTTTTCCCAATTTTTAATCCAAACATGCATTTGCAGATCCACTGTAAAAAAAACCCTCTTTACCCTCAGATATTTGCATGGTGCTAGACATTGGCATAGCATGGGGGGGGGCAGAAGGGCTGTTGCCCCAGGAGCAAAATTGGGGGGTGGGGGTGTGCAAAATTTCAAAAGAAAAATAAACTGCTTTGAGGGTTTTTTGAAAAAAAATACAACAGCAATCAAGCAGTGTAACAATTTCATGAAATAAATAATAATAAAATAAGTGGCCGCTGCTGCTAGCCCCTCCCCAGCTTCTCTCTGCTGGGAAGACCCTTCCCCATCACTATTGCTGCTGCTGCCCGGCCCTAACCGGGGGCACAATACTTGCCTTGCCCGCCCGGGGCAACCTATGCTACACCACTGGTGGGAGAGTCACCTTAGATTGCGTCCTGACCCCATCCCCAAGGCCTTTAGGGAGGTATTCTTCTATGCAATGGCTGCAGCTCGGACTTTGGTGGCCAAGGGGTGGAAGGAACAAGAAGCCCCGACAATAACAGACTGGCAAAACAAGCTACAGGAATTTGCTGAAATGGCGCAGTTGACAAATACCCTGAGAGGCAATTCAGAACAAAAATTTATGGAAAAGTGGGATAGATATAAAACATATGTCCAAAAATACAGTAAAGGTTCGCTATCTATGCTAGCATTTGATTGACGTTGGAGAGAGACTGAGTTGAGAAATAAGACTAAGAGCACATATTGATATAGGAATGTATTAGATAATATGTAAAGAAATATACAATAATAAGAGTACATTCATTTGTAAAAAAAGGAATATACAACGGGAAAGACAGGAAGTCTAGTGTGTTGGTATGTATATGATTTGGGGGGAGAAATTGTTTTTGTCTTTTCTCTTTGTTCTTTTTTTTGTTTCATTTTCTTTCTAGGTATATAAAATTTGTATATAATTTTTGTATACATGTTGGAAATTATAGTAAGTCCTGTAATGTAATATGACAATGTTTATGTATGAAATCTAAGAATGTTAACAAATAAAAAAAATGCAAATTCAAAAATAAATAAATAGATCACTTCTTGACCCAGGAGCAGCTCCCGACTCAGAAGATGATCCTTAGGAAGCTCCCCTGTTAAAATTCCTCAGCATTCCCAGCTATTATGGAATGTCCAGGAACAGATACGGGAGACAACGGACAGTTGCACTAGAATCAGGGATCGGCAAACTTTTTCAGCAGGGGGCCAGTCCACTGTCCCTCAGACCTTGTGGGGGGTGGCCGGACTTTTTTTTTTTAATGAACGAATTCCCACAAATAACCCAGAGATGCATTTTAAATAAAAGGACACAGCTTTCTATGCAAGAGCACCAGGCAAGCCGTACAAATAACCCAGAGATGCATTTTAAATAAAAGGACACATTCTGCAGTGGTACCTCGGGTTAAGAACTTAATTCGTTCTGGAGGTCTGTTCTTAACCTGAAACTGTTCTTAACCTGAGGAACCACTTTAGCTAATGGGGCCTCCTGCCGCCACCACGCGATTTCTGTTCTCATCCTGAAGCAAAGTTCTTAACCTGAGGTACTATTTCTGGGTTAGCGGAGTCTGTAACCTGAAACATCTGTAACCTGAAGTGTCTGTAACCCCAGGTACCACTGTACTCAGGTAAGCCATTCCCCCCCAACTCTCCCCTCCCTTCTCCACAGCACTGGACGAGCCATGGTGGCTGCCTAACTGTGTCTTGCAAGCGGCAGGGGCTGGCGGTGGTGGCAGGACGATGAGCGGTGTGCGAAAGGGCTCTGGAGAGGGAGCAGTAGCAACAAGGCCCAAACTGAGCCCGCTTACAACGGCGGCCGCTTAAGCGCTAACGCTGCTGCTGTCACCAACAAAGCCCAGCACCCTTCCTCTCTGCTCTAGGCAGGGCAGGGAGAAGCCAGGAGGAGGGAGGGAGGGAGGGAGGGAGGGAGGGGGGCTGCTGAATGTGCACCCTGGCACATCCCAAACGATCAGATCCCTGGCGATTCCCAGACCGTCTGCGGGCCAGATCCAGAAGGCAGCTGAGCCAGATCTGGTCCCCAGGCCTTAGTTTGCCTACCCATGAACTAGATGGACCAAGAATCTGACTTCCTGTTTTCCCCAAGACTGACAATTCCACTTTTTCCCATCACGAGCCCAGGTAAAGCAGAGAGAGGGTTAACGCCATTACCTGAATGCAGCCCCATCCGTACCCTGATGGGCACGTGGGGGAGGTGTTTTGCTCGAAACGACCCCACGGAGCTGAGGATGTCCAGGGACATGTTGGCGATCTCAGAGGCATGTCTGCGGCCGTTGCGTTTCGGAAGCCCCGAAGCCACCATATAGGCATCGCCGATGGTTTCCACCTGGAAATCAAAGAGTATTGCTTTTCCCCAAAGGGCAATTAGAACTGCAGGTGGGTTGACTAAGAGCTGAAGGCTAAACGATGCTCACTTCTTGTGCGGGTTGTGGTGGAGCAGTAGGATCTGCGTCAAGCAAGGCTCATAGGTGACCAGGCCAGGTTCAAAGTTCGTGTGATGCTGCACAACTTGGGCCCAGGATACCTGAAGGACCACCCCCCCTAGCCCTTATATCCCAGCCTATCGCTCATCTGGAGAAGTACTGTTGGCTCTTAAGACTCCACCTTCATCTGGACCCTTCTCTAGAACTTCATGTTTCCCTCACACACACATCCTCCTCCAAAGTAGGTGCTCCAAGACCTCACCTTGTAGACGTCATGATGGCCAATGATGGCATCAAACAGAGTGTAAAGGTCATTGAGAAGATCCACGATCTCGATGGGCTCGCTGAGGGCGGAGATGGTCGTGAAGCCAATGATGTCGCTGAAGTAGATGGTGACCTCGTCAAAATACTCAGGTTCAACGGTGGCGCCGGTTTTCAGCGTTTCCGCCACCGACCTGAAACGACACGTGGATGTCAACCTGAGCGACTGGAAGTGCAGAATCTTCTAAGGCTCAAGACATTGAGATGTCTTGGCAGCCTGTTTATGGATTATTTAATTATTGCATTTCTATTTGACCTCCACGACTCTGAATATCAGCAGCTGGGAACTGTAGGAGGGAAGAGCGCTGTTGCGTTCAGTTCTGATTGTAGGATACCCAAAGGCATCTGGTGAGACCAGGATGCTGGCCTAGACAGGCCATTGGCCTGGTCCAGCAGGCTCTAATTACCTTCTCATGTTCTCACAAGACCTGGATTCCAGACCCCTCACCATGCTGGCCACCCTCCTCTGGACATGTTTCAGTTTGCCAATGTCCTCCTTCAAATGTGGTGGACTGTGATGGCCTGGGACTTGGGCTTGGACTCGGAGCCAGAGGAGTCTCAGTCTGCACCGGATCCTTTGCCTCAGGTGGCATCTGAACCAAGTCTGGGGCCTGATTCTGAAGAGCCCCAATCTGCACAGGTTCCCCTGCAACAAACACCAGCTGGGCCGAGTCAGGGGCCTGAGCTTGCCCTGGCTTCAGATGCGGGGATTACCTCGTTGCCTCCAGCTGGGCCATCACTTACAGCTGCTCCACTGCCAGTTGGGTCAGGAGAGGCTGAGGCGGCCTCTGGGTCTAGTAACCCACTGACCTCTCCTGAGCTGCAGAGACTGAGGTCTGAGAAGGAGAGACCCGGGTACTTGCAGGAGGAGTGCTCGCCTTCAGACGAGACAGGAAGGTGAGTCGCTGGGGGACCGGCTGCTACCCCAACAAAGATAAAAGGCCATCAGACCCCGCCCCAGGTTGCGGGAGCAACGTTGCTGTTTGCTAGAACCTGTGCCTGACCCTACCTGGTTTCCTGCCTCATGTCCTGCCTTGGCCCTGTCAGACTGACTCCTCATGGAACCCTTGGATTTGGGACTGGACCTGGACCGCGTTGCTCAGGTTACCCCCAGGCCCAGCACATGGACAGAGCTGGACAAAATATCCCAGTGTCAGGGATGTGGCTGAATCGAATGACTGGGAATAGGCTGACTCTGGAGACGAAGGAATGCCTGTACAGAAGGAGCCAGGGTCTGACTCTGGAGACAAGGGATTGCCGCCACAGACAGAGGAGGAGTGGGTTAGTTTTGGACCCCTTCACCGAGAGTTCCCAGTCTGAGATAGAGCAGCAGACTCGGAAAGCTTGCAGGCAGAGGGAGGGGAGGAGATATATGATATTGAGGGGGTTGCTATGCAACCAGGGAAGTGGCAACATTTGGAGGGATCTTCGTTTAATAGTTGGGGGAGCTCACCCACCTTCTCCCTGAACCAGAAGAGCTGAAAGGGTTAAAATGCAATGGAAGTACAAGAGAGGAAGGACTGGACTTTGGCGCCCTTCGTGCTGCGAAAGGGGCGGAGACTCAGAGTGACCAACTCGTAGCAAAAAGCGGCAGGCTCGGAGCCACACTCTGGATATAAATTGTAAATAAACATGCCATAAGACTCATTAATTCTTATGGGGGCTTGCTTGCCTTCCTGAGATCATTACACCCAGCAGTGGAAGTCGGCTTTAAAATCTCAGCAGACCCCTGTGCGATGTTAAAATCCAGGCACTCCTCACCTTAAATTCTACATTATTGTTACAGCACCCTCTTGGCTCAGTGCCCAGTGCGGACAAACCAGTTGTGCTCCCCTAAAGCCACCTGTGACTCCAGATCTGACTTGACCAATGCAGAAGATACAGAATTCTTCTGATTTTTTTAAAAATTAATTTTCCAAAAAGTTTTTTAGACAAACAAACAAAAAATCTCAACCTTATTTGTACCAATCTTAGTAACATTGTTAAGTGACTTCCTCATACCCCCCTGGTTGAATTTCAATGTATATCCTATTAACAGTTTTCCAAAACCAATATTCTTATAAAATTAACTTAATCACTTATCATCTTTCTTTCTTTCAAATTTGGCATTAAACATAATAATTCATCACATTACATAATTAAATCCTAAGCCTATCTGACAAGAAATACCAACAGTGGAAGATTGGCAGATGAAGACGATGGACTTTTCGGAGCTGGCCGACCTGACTGGAAGAGTCCGTGACCAGAAGGAGGAGGAATGGAAGAAATTTAAAGACTATTTATTTAAATATGTTAAGTTAACTTAATTGGAATAGCTTGCAAATATCAGAAGATACAGAATTCTTGGAGGTCATTCCCATTTCACGCAAGGTTGAAGTGACAGAGTTAAAGCGGCAGTGACCAATATTCGTCACTCGCTTTTCTTCCTTCTCCCCAGTCTGCAGCAGCAGAAGCAGCACTTTTTCCCACTTGGAAGCGGCTTGGGGCAGAGCCTACATGCGGCAGGGCTATTGCCCTGACATTTCGACTTACAGGGGAAGCATCTGAGTCAGGAGTTTATCCGTCTTCTGCTTTTCCATCTCCAGCTCCTCCGTCCGCTCTCGGATCAAGTCTTCCAGGTTGCTGGAATACTGCTCCAGCATCCTCAGCATGGAGTCGATGATATTGGTCCGTCTGCCTTTATTGATGGATTTGAACTGGGGTTGGAGAATTAGAACAAGGTTCTTTGGTGCTCAGTTCTCCAGCTGACTCAGGAAAACTAAGCTGATTGGCTAAAGAATAAGTTACGCACAAGAAATAACAGATGGGTGGAAAGCATAAGGTTTTATCCAACGAAGTTAACGTATTTTTTGCTCTATAAGACTCACTTTTTCCCTCCTAAAAAGTAAGGGGAAATGTGTGTGCGTCTTATGGAGCAAATGCAGGCTGCGCAGCTATTCCAGAAGCCAGAACAGGAAGGGGGATCGCTGCTTTCGCTGCTCAGCGATCCCTCTTGCTGTTCTGGCTTCTGGGATTCAGAATTTTTCCCCCCTTGTTTTCCTCCTCCCAAAACTAGGTGCGTCTTATGGTCTGGTGCGTCTTATAGAGTGAAAAATACAGTATACCCAGAGCAGTCCTGTTGAAAATAATGGATCGAAGTTCATCATGTCCATTATTTTATCCATGCATTCATTCTTTATAAAAAAAAATTATATACTGCTATTCGTTAAAAATACCAGCGTGTTTTACAACAACTGCACATACAGTCATACCTCAGGTTGAACATGCTTCATGTTGAGCGCATTCGAGTTGTGCTCCGTGGCAACCCGGAAGTAACGGAGCGCGTTACTTTTGGGTTTTGCTGCTCGTGCATGCACAGATGCTCAAAATGACGTCACACGCATGCGCAGAAACGGCGAAAAGTGACGTGCACATGCGCAGACATGCTGTCGCTAGTTACGTTTGCTTCTGGATGCGAATGGGGCTCCGGAACGGATCCCGTTCGCATCCCGAGGTACCACTGTTCAGTAATACCTTGGTTCTCGAACTTAATCCGTTCTGGAAGTCTGTTTGACTCCTGGAACTGTTCGAAAACCAAGATGCAGCTTCCGATTGGTTGCAGGAGCTTCCTGCACTCAAACAGAAGCCACGGGTGTTCGACAACAAATCGGTGTTCGAGAGCCGATTTGTTCGGCAGCTAAGCCATTCGAGAACCAAGGTATTACTGTAGAACAAAAACCACCCCAAAATATTAAACTCAGAAATCAGCTATTATAGAAAGATGCATTCTTTTTTTTATTATTATTAAAGATTTTCTTGTTTTACAGAAGTATATGTAATGTCTCTCCTATTTTTTCCATGTAACATTTTTACAAATCAGTTTCATTTGTTGAGACATTAGAAAGAAAAGGGGTGGGGGTGTGGGGGTCGGGTGGCGATGTTTCTATTTTGCCTAATGTATGTAGGGTTTGGTGTCAGTGTTGCTCGTGCCGGTTCTCTGCTGTTCACTTGTGTTCCTTTGGTGGTGAGAGAGGTTGGGGTTGGCCTAGGGTGTGGCTGTTCATTTGTGGTTGGCTGTGGTGATCTTTGTTTTCATGTGTGAGTGGGGTGGGTGGGTGTTTTGGAGCAGGTTAGCCATATTGATTTGTATGCTGTTGGTGGATTAATGTCATTATCTTGTTGGGCTGTGTGTGTGATAAAGGGGAGCCATACCGGGGTGAAGGCATCTTCTTCTGTTTGTCCCTGTGTCAGTTTCAGTTTATTGGTTAATTTTTCTAGTAAGGCTGTTTCCCATACTATTTGGTACCACTGGTCCATGCTTACTCCTGACAGGTCTCTGCAATGTCTGGTTATGGTGTTTCTGGCTGCTGAACGTAGGTGGGTTATGAGTTCTTTGTGGTGTAAATGGGCTTTGTTGTCTTGGAAGATGTTTAGTAGGGCCAATTCTGGGGTGATGTCTAATACTTGCTTAGTTATTTTACATATTTCTTGTATGGCTGTTGTCCAGAATAGTTGGATTTTGGGGCACTCCCACCACATGTGGAGGTATGTGCTTGTGGAGGTGCACCCTCTCCAACATTTTGGTGAGGTTCCTGGGCGTATTAGCACTAGTTTTCTTGAGAAACATGTATTCTTAACTGCATAAGCCTGATGGAATGGGAACAAGGAATGACCTCTTGAAAGATCTCATCAAAGCTTGGCCTACGATCTGGTCTCTCACTCCAGCACTGTTTCATGAGCTGAATGCATTCCAGCGGGGCATTTTCAGGAGAAACACTCGGGCGATACAACGGCGGAGGCTTCTTCAGTTTGCGGATGATTTCTGGAGCAAGGAGAGGGTTTCACAATGACAGCATGCCCTAACCTGGTACCCCACCCCCCAGTCCCTTGGACTACATACTGGGGTTCTCTCACCAAAGAGTATTTGCCCCAGATCTAGATCTTCCTTCCTATATTATTTTTTCCTTGCCACCACCACCTTTAAAGTCATCCCATGTTGTCATAATGATGTAAAGTAATTGACAGGTGGGGGGCTCCGCCCATCTGTCGGAGTCGACTCATGAGTGGTGGGGGCGCAAGGATCTGGTTGACTGGCCTGATCCAGTTCTGCACCCCTACCAATGAGCGCACCGCCTCATGTGAACAAAACAAAAACTGCCTCTTTTGGACCAGTATTGTCATTGAACTTCTACTCAGCATTGACCCAGAGCAGATTCCAATGTATTGTTAGCAGAGTAAAAACTTAAACATGTTGCAGAATTCCCAAAAAGTACAGGTGAAACTCGAAAAATTAGAATATCGTGGAAAAGTTCATTGATTTCAGTAATTCAACTTAAAAGGTGAAACTAACATATGAGATCGACTCATGGCATGCAAAGCGAGATATGCTTCTACTTCGCAGCTCTATTTGCAATCCTTGTTTTGCTGATTTCATTGAATATTCTAATTTTCTGAGATGGTTAATTTGGGGTTTTCATCAGCTGTACGCCATGATCATCACAATTATAACAAAGAAAGGCTTGGCATATCTCACTTTGCATGTCATGAGTCTATCTCATATATTAGTTTCACCTTTGAAGTTGAATTACAGAAATCAAGAAACTTTCCCACGATATTCTAATTTTTTGAGTTTCACCTGTAGACCAGAGGCGATTGATATTTCATCCAGCAGAGCTTTACTGCTACTGAAGGCAAATGAGCATAATGGTCACAAATCAAATACATTCAGGATTGGCGCTGTCCATAAGAAATCCAGTTGCAGCAGACTTAACTTAAACTTACAATAACTTATAAGTCTAAACCTTAACACTAAGCGTACTATGTACAGAACACCACACCAGAAGGAAGAGAGATACAAAGAGAAAGAGTGAAACACAGGCTCCTTCTGGCCCTGCTTTTATAGTCAGCATCACCTTAACAGAAAAGATAAGAGAACCAGTTTAAAGCAGCTGTACTCAGCTTCTCGGAAGGAATAACCCAAACATCAGGAATCTCCTGCTTGTTTCTTTCACAGAGAGAAGCTCCCAGAACCCTCTTGAATTAAGTAGAATAGGAAAGATCTCTACACATCTGATCAATACTTTCTGCACTAAGAAATGCAGACTGACAAGTACTGTATCTAGCCTAGTCTTCAACACTGGCCGGCCAAATCAGAGTGTGATTGTGTCTATTTTGCTGTACACTTTCAAATACCGAGGCTGGAGGGGCAGATCGTGCTCACCTTCAGCTGACATTTCAGACATGCAGTATGGGGGCCCCCGAAGAACAACTTCTTGCAGGATAATAGCAAAACTATAGACGTCTCCTTTTATGGTGCCTTTTGGGGACATCGCTGGATTTCTCAATATCTCGGGAGCTGTCCAGAGCAATTCTGGGAGAAAAAAGATCAATATATCCAGAATCAACTTGATCCCCTCCCCCTCTTTCCTTTTTCCTTTCTCCTTCTGTGATGGATCTCCCATTTGGGGACTTCCCTGGCTTTTTTCTGGCCCATGTAGGACCAGTCTGGATAGTTGGCCTTGGTGAAGATTTGACGTTTTCATCCCCCAAAAGTTTTTGATTTGGGTTTCTACTGAAATGAGGCTGCATTTTAATGTTGTATTTTAATCTTGTTGTTATGTTGTATTTTAATCAATTGTTTTTATACCTGGTGTTAGCTGCCCTGAGCCCAGTATTGGCAGGGGAAGGCGGGGTATGAATAAAATTTATTATTATTATTATTATTATTATTATTATTATTATTATTATTATGGCTTGCAGGAAGGACCACTGTGTTAGACTGCAAGTAGAGTTTGGATTTGATATCCCGCCTTTCACTCCCTTTAAGGAGTCTCAAAGCGGCTAACATTCTCCTTTCCCTTCCTCCCCCACAACAAACACTCTGTGAGGTGAGTGAGGCTGAGAGACTTCAAGGAAGCGTGACTGGCCCAAGGTCACCCAGCAGCTGCAAGTGGAGGAGCGGAGACGCGAACCCGGTTCCCCAGATTAGCAGACTAACGCTCTTAACCACTACACCAAAGTCTCTTGGCACCATTAGAGACTAAGTCCCTATCTGTACTGAAGAATTTCATTAGGTTTTACCCCCCCCCCCCAAATGTTTACTGTCATGGCTTCCTTAAAGAATCTGAGGGACTGAATTCTTTTAGGTGAACTCAGAGCTGTTAACAACACAGAGACAGAAAATTGCCAAGCAACACGACACATTACAGTACTTGAATAAGCAGTCAGATCAGTGGTTCTAAAAAATAATAATTCTCACCACACCCTTTGAGAACCACTGAGTTAGATGAATGAATCAGTAGTCTGATGGGTCTCTGCAGGCCTCTCTAGGTAGGGAAAGTCAGACTGTCTGTGCCACCACCGAAAAGGCCCTGTTCCTTGTGCTGAACCTCAGCTGACGGGGAGGCCTGACCCCAGAGGTCTAAGAGAGCCTGCGGAAGGGGACCCAGAAGAGAAAGTGATCCTTTAAGGTTCCAGATCCTAAGCAACATCAGGGCTGGGTGGCGAACCTCAGACCCAGAGGGCAAATGTGGCCCTTTGGACCTCTCCTTCTGGCCCTTGATAGTGTCACCAGACCACGACTTCTCACCTCAGCCGACATCCATCACCGGCTTTGCTTCACACTCACCTTGAGTGTTTTTGCCTTGACTTCAATATGTCACTGAACTCTGAAAAAAATGCCCTTGTTTGCCTGGGTGCAGGACAAAGAGGAGTGTGTTTGTAGAAATCAGCCAATCACACTGGTGTGTGGTCCTTGAAGGCTGCTCAGAAGAAGACATTGCCCCCAGGCTAAAAAGAAAGTCCTGCGTCCTTGACTTTGAGCTATTAAGGGGAAAACGAACACCTGGAATTGAGCCTGAAAATCAGTCGGTAAGCAGTGCAATGCAATACAGATAGAACTAGGGTTATATACTGGCCTCAGTCCAGTATACCTGAAGGAGCGTCTCCACCCCCATCGTTCTGCCCGGATGCTGAAGTCCAGCACCGAGGGCCTTCCGGCGGTTCCTTCGCTGCGAGAAGCCAAATTACAGGGAACCAGGCAGAGGGCCTTCTCGGTGGAGGCACCCGCCCTCCCACCAGATGTCAAAGAGAAAAAACAACTACCAGACTTTTAGAAGACATCTGAATGCAGCCCTGTTTAGGGAAGCTTTTAATGTTTAATAGACTATTGTATTTTAATATTCTGTTGGAAGCCACCCAGAGTGGCTGGGGAAACCCAGCCAGATGGGCAGGGTATAAATATATTATTATTATTATTATTATTATTATTATTATTATTATTATTATTATTATTATTATTATTGATAGGCAGCATTATTTGGCATCAGCTGAGGTCTCTGGACCCTTTCAAGGTCAAAACCACAAACATACAGAGCATGACAATTACTTCTTACCTTCTGCAGGGGGCTGAACGCCCAAGTCGCTCAGTGCCGCCAGGAGCTCACCATAGCTGTAGTCGGTGATCTTCAACATAAACCGCCCGTCCACAACGCAGTTGCGAGACTTGAGACGTCCGTGGGGGATCTCCTGGTGGTGCAAATATTTCATTCCCTGAAAAGGAAAGGGATTGAGGGCTTCAGTCTGGGCATCGCCAGAGCCGAGGAACACAAACCCCAGTTAAAGACCTTCCCGGTCCAGCATTCTCTGCCGGCGAGATTCAGGGCTCGATGGTGAAGGCTGGTGATTGCAATTTCACTGTGTTTAGCTTGTGGTTTCCATTTTGAGCTGTTTGGGATAATCTCTTGAGACAAAGCTACTCTCCCTGCCGTGGATAGACCTAGCCGCCTTGAAGTTGCCCTGGTGTGATCAAGGCAGGACTTTGGGGCAGTTGTCTAGGGCCTCAGTCTTGGCAGGCCATCAGTGATTCATCCTTGGCCATCTCCCACTGTTGGAGATCAGAGGTACAGTAATTTTCGCTCTATAGGACGCACCGGACCATAGGAGGGGGAGAACAGAAATTATTTTTTTCTCTTGTTCCCCCCCTCTAAAACAAGGTGCGTTCTGTGTGTTCAAGGTGCATTCACCCAAAGCCTCCGGAGCCCAGCGGGAGTTCCCACTGGGCTCCGGAGGCTTTGGGTTCCTTTCGACCTGGTCTTTGGGGCTGGCGCTTCCCCCCACTGCCAGCCTCAAAACCAGGTCAGGGAGCAGCGCGAAGGCATTGCGCACCTTCCCGCTGCCCCCCGAGCTTGTGGGACTGGCATTGCAGCCTTCCCCCCACCTTCATGCAGCCTTCATAGCCTCTGCAGGACAGCGGGGTGAAGGCACCCCGCTGCCCTGTGGAGGCTTTGCGCCACTAACCCCAAGCTAGAACAGCGAGGCGGAGTGCTGCGCAGCGCTCTGTTTCCCTGTTCTGGCTTTGGGCTTAGCCGCGCAGCCTGCGTTCGCTCTATAGGACGCACACGCATTTCCCCTTGATTTTTGGAGGCGAAAAGGTGCATCCTATAGAGCGAAAAATACGGTATGTGTGCTACAGACCTCTGAGACACCCCCTAAATTAGCCTGCAGTTCATCCGTCCCCACGATGCATAGCAGGGTGTTCTTCCATTGACAGAGCTGAAGTGTGATTCAGCTAGCACTCATGACCTTTGGATACAAAGGCTTTCATCCAAAATTAGTCATACTTGGAGGGACCCACTGAAATGAGTGGACATGAATAACTTGCCGCATTTTTCGCTCGATAACACGCACCTGACCATAACACGCACGTAGTTTTTAGAGGAGGAAAACAAGAAAAAAAATATTCTAAGCGAAACAGTAGATGTATGATTTTTGTGGTTCATGCTGTGGCCACAGACATGTGATCTGATGGTGAGTTTGGGGTGACCCAGTGCAAAATCCTGAGGATCCATGTGGATCCGTGCTTTGTAACCACGTTTTAAGTGGGGAGGGAAGGAAAAGCACTCAATGGACAAGGAGCGCGCGTGGGGTGTGTGGAGAAGGAGCTTTTCTGTGAGCTGAGCGGGGAGGGAAAGAACACTGTTGCTTTAAAGGTATACTTAAGGTATTTGCCCTGTGCCTGGGGTTTTTTTCCATTTAACAGTTTGCAGCCTTTTCCTTCTGCTCCTTGTTTTGAGGCAGAATAGATTTGAGCAAGTGAGGAGGACTTGGATTGCAGGGGATTCACCATTAGCTGTGTAAAAGCGCTCCTCCTTGCAGCCTGAGTGATAAGCAGCCACCAGCAGCAATAGAATGGAGCACAAAAAAGCGGTAGGGGCACTAGGACCCAGACAATGCTCAAATCTATCCTGCCTGAAAACAGCTGAGAAGCGGGGGGGGGGGGGGATAGCCTTTTTTTTTTACTTCCTGGTTTTCACTGCGCTCGTGGCTCAGAGCTCGAGGTTGGTGGGGTTTTTTTTGGGTTTTTTTGCTGCTGGTTGCTTAAATTTTATCCTTCCTGATCCAAGCCCTCCTGTCCCTCTGCAGCCTCACTGCTCCGTTTAGAGAGCGCGCGGACCTTTGCTAGCTGAGGCTGCAGCAGCTGTTGCTGGCTACTTTAAAAGCGCTTGCTGGCTTTGAACCGCCTGCCTTCTCCCGGCTCGCTATGGCTCCCGTCTGTCCCTCCTCCCGTGTAAGCGGCTGCTGCCCACTTTGCTGCCATGGCTCTCCTTCCCTCCCCCCTCCCCGGCTCCTCCGTAGGTCGCTTTAAAGCAAGCAAAGGAGCCCCTCCTCCTGGCTGTAAAGCAAGCAAAGCTAGAGCCGTGCAAAGCCCTGCAAGCGGCTCCCGCTTTGCTTGACTGACGGCAGCCACGGCTCCGATCCAGTGCATTCGCTCCGTAACACGCACAGGCATTTTCCCTTACTTTCTAGGAGCAAAAAAGTGTGTGTTATGGAGCGAAAATTACGGTAGATCCATTCATTCCAATGGGCCAGAGTTAATTAACCCAGTGCACTAGCGGAAACCAGAGCAAGAATTTCTACTAGTGCATTGGGGCTTTCCCTACTTCTCTACCCACCTGCGCCCCCCTGTGCCTCCCCCAAATCCACGCTGGAGGGGCAGAGGAACCCTCAGAATAGTGTACAAGGAAGGGAAAGGGGGATGGAACAATTACCGAAGCCTCTGAAAGCATCTACTAAAAGCAGGACTTAGTTGGATAAAACTCAAAATGTCTTGTGTTGGCTCTTCATAAAGGACCTTTTTAAATTTTCCAAGGATCTGGCCAGAACCCAAGGCTCATTTTCAGAGCTGAGGACAATATGACAGCAAAGATTCTCTCCCTTTGTATGACTCATTGTGCTCAATTTTGCATTTTTGATAGAACATCCTTCCTTTTCACCCCCAGAATAAAAAGAGAACTTACTTTAATTAAGTCCATCAGAAGAGATGATTTGAACATCCAGTCCAGCTTTATGTTTGTGTTTTGCAGCAAATCCTCTAGGCTCCCTCTGGAGCAAAACTCCATCACGATGGCAGAGAGAGACCCATCAGATAAAAGGCCTAGAAATGGGTTCACATTTTCATGGCGTACATCCTTCATCTGGGGACACAAGGAGCAAATTGCAAGAGAGATTGGGGATCTCTGACTTTCTTTTCTTTGATACTCAGGTTGTGATGCCCACAAGCAAAATAAATGTATCATCATGTCAGATATGAAGACTGCAAGGATGCAGAATGCAGGTTGCTCCACAATTATTCTGCAAAGTTTTAGGGGCGCTTCTGGAGTTGCATGCGATATTTATTTTGTTGTTTCTTCCACTTGCTTCCCACCTTCCCATTTCAGAAAATCAGCAATGCATAATGCAACTGAACCAAAACAACACAAAATAACAAAGCAATCATCCGACAGAAAATTGAAAGTTAGTCCCACTGTCTGCTGATGGCAAATGATAAACTTGAGTGGTCACGGCACAGATTAAAGGCTGGCTACCTTCTTTGCTGCTCTCAGTAGACCAGGTCAAGTGGCTGCAGCATGGACCTCCTCTAAGACCCATCTCTATAGCTAATTGTGAATTCAAAGATGGGCTTGGGTAATGTTTTGGAGCTGTTAAATTGGGCAGAGAGATAAAAATAAGGTAAATAAGATGCTGGGTTTGCCCCATTGAAAGTGTTCACTGCAAAATAACCTGCAGCTTCTGAAAATGTCATTTCATCTTAAAAAGCAGAGACATCACCTTGCCAACAAAGATCCGTACAGTTAAAGCTATGGTTTTCCCAGTAGTGATATATGGAAGTGAGAGCTGGACCATAAAGAAGGCTGATAGCCAAAGAATGGATGTTTTTGAATTATGGTGCTGGAGGAGACTCTTGAGAGTCCCATGGACTGCAAGAAGATCAAACCTCTCCATTCTGAAGGAAATCAGCCCTGAGTGCTCATTGGAAGGACATATCCTGAAGCTGAGGCTCCAATACTTTGGCCACCTCATGAGAAGAGAAGACTCCCTGGAAAAGACCCTGATGTTGGGAAAGATGGAGAGCACAAGGAGAAGGGGACGACAGAGGACGAGATGGTTGGACAGTGTTTTCAAAGCTACCAGCATGAGTTTGACCAAACTGCAGGAGGCAGTGGGAGACAGGAGGGCCTGGCGTGCTCTGATCCATGGGGTCATGAAGAGTTGGACATGACTAAACGACTAAACAACAACATTATGTGTGGGAGTTCTTATTTCAGTTTATTGGAATGAGCTCTCCCTAGCCATTGGCTCAGCTGAAGCCATGTTGTGGGATGTTTATGGAAATTCTGCTGTTTTGAGGTGGTTAAAACTCAGTTCCATAAAGTATAGGGATAGAGGGTATGGTGTTCTTTTAGTGGGAAAGTGAACACAAGAAGATGAAGGACATGCAGGCTAGCTCCACGACAACACCTTCTGCTGCCCCTGCAGCAGACACTCCCCCCCCCCCCGCCATCCATGCATTGGTTCCATGTGGCAAAGAGCTCAGAGTTTTCCCTTGTGGTTGGGCTAGAGGAGCTCTAAGCATGGATACCAGAATGCACATAGAGGTGTTTTGCACACTGGCTGAATGCACAGACTGGGTGGAAGCGTTTCCACTGTGAGCAGCAGGGGCAGGGCGGGCATAGACATGGCATTCATCATTATTGGGAGTGGGACTAATCCTGTGACCCCTCCTTATGCATTTTTCTCAAAGCATTGGGGGAAAGTGTTATATGAACCTCCTTAAGAGCAGCCACAGAAGAGACACAGGAAATATGCAGTTCTGTGTATACATGTGAGTCACCATTTACTCAATAACAATCCCTACCTGGCTTAACAAGCTGGCAGTCCTCTGTCTCAGGTCACTGGTTGCTCCAGATTCCAGTTTCTTCAGCCATACCCAGTCGCCCTGGCCAGAGAAGGTATCAGTAAATGATTAAGAAAGGCCCAAGGCTAATTCTAGAATTGAGACACAAGTATGCACCCCTTTGTGATGTTTACAAAACATCACGATTCAGATTCACACGTTGCATGTTTCCAGATTTCACAAATTCCAAATGGTTAGGGGCTGATTTGAAAATAGGGGGTTGTTGCTTGACAATATATCAGAATCAAAATTGTTTTTCAGATATTGTGGTGGAATGTCTGAAGGAGTGTTCGTTTTGGATCCTTGATTAGCTAGAATCATTGATGAGAAGAAGAAGAAGAAGAAGAAGAAGAGGAAGAAGAAGAAGAGGAAGAAGAAGAAGAAGAAGAAGAAGAAGAAGAAGAAGAAGAAGAAGAGGAGGAGGAGGTGTTTGGATTTGATATCCTGCTTTATCACTACCCTAAGTGGCTAACAATCTCCTTTCCCTTCCTCCCCCACAACAAACACTCTGTGAGTTGAGTGAGGCTGAGAGACTTCAGAGAAGTGTGACTGGCCCAAGGTCACCCAGCAGCTGCATGTGGAGGAGCAGGGAAGCGAACCCGGTACACCAGATTACGAGACTACCGCTCTTAACCACTACACCACACTGACTCTGTGGCACTGGCAATGCCAGGTGCTTAGGAACCACTGATCAAGGTGGTTTTTCAGACCCCAGATTCCCCACCCCTGAGTTAGGGACATATCAGCCTCCTGGTTTTAGCGCTGACTCTGCCTGCGACTGCAGCCTTTGATATAGCTACAAGACTGAACTTCGACTTACCAGTGTGTTGGAGGAGTTATAGTCTTCTGCAGATTTATTTATTATTTATCACTTATGGACTCACTGTGAAAACCATGTTTATGGAAGACAATCTTACTCGGCTACGAGGGATTGCGGAAGAAGGAGGAGGAGGAGGAGGAGGAGGAGGAGGAGGTTTGGATTTGATATCCCGCCTTTCACTCCCTTTTAAGGAGTCTCAAAGTGGCTAAGATTCTCCTTTCCCTTCCTCCCCCACAACAAACACTCTGTGAGGTGAGTGAGGCTGAGAGACTTCAGAGAAGTGTGACTGGCCCAAGGTCACCCAGCAGCTGCATGTGGAGGAGCGGGGAAGCGAACCCGGTTCACCAGATTACGAGTCCACCACTCTTAACCACTACACCACACTGGCTCAGCAAATAGCCAATTCACAGAATCATAGAACTGCAGAGTTGGAAGGGACCCCTAGGGTCATCTAGTCCAACCCCCTTGTGATGCAGGAAACTCAACTAAAGCACCCATGACGGATGGCCTTCCAAAACTAAAAAAAGTCCCTGCAGAGAAGATCTCCCACCCCTTCCCTTTGCCTCCCTTCATCTAAACATTGTTTCCCTTCATAATCTCCTCTTCCCCCTAGGATGAGTGTAACCTTTCACTTGCTACCCAGCAACCAGGCAGCGTCTACAAACAGGCTGCAAGTATTCACTGGGAAAGATGTCGTGACCAGTATGCGGTTCCTGATTCTGGGATCACATGGTTCCTGCATTGCGGGGGGGGGGGGTTGAACTGGATGACCCTCGTGGTCCCTTCTAACCCTACAATTCCACGATTCTATTCCTCACCAGGCATAATTTTATTCCCATTGTTCTTTGGCCATTTGGAGGGACTAATGCATTGCTAGGGTCAGAAGATCAAACGCATCCATTCTTAAGGAAATCAGCCCTGAGTGCTCACTGGAAGGACAGATCGTGAAGCTGAGGCTCCAGTACTTTGGCTACCTCATGAGAAGAGAAGACTCCCTGGAAAAGACACTGATGCTGGGAAAGATGGAGGGCACAAGGAGAAGGGGGCGACAGAGGACGAGATGGTTGGATAGTGTTTTCGAGGTTACCAGCATGAGTTTGACCAAACTGCAGGAAGTAGTGGAGGACAGAGGTGCCTGGCGTGCTCTGGTCCATGGGGTCACGAAGAGTCGGACACGACTAAACGACTAAACAACAAAGGGTCATTCTATGTCATTTAAAAAATATGTCTTAACAGCATCATTTGGGAATCCTGATATACCCACCCCCTTAAAATCCAAGAACGGCTAGATTTAATCAGTGTTCCACTACCTTGTATATTGCCACATTGGAGGATTCATATGTCACAGTTGTGCTTTTCACCGACAAAGAATGTGTGGCAGATCTCAGGCTTCGAACTTCCAAGTTGCTCTTAGAATCGCTCAGGCTATCCACCGCCAGTCTCTGTGAGTAGGAAACACAGCCAGGGACGAATCAAGGAGCACGTCCTACTGATCTAGGCTGAACATCTCGTTCAGATTCAGTGTTGACACAATGGCAAGTCAGATGGCTAGCCAACGTTTCTCCCACCTCAAAGTGTCATGATTTCCAGTGCAAAAAAGTAAAGGTAAAGGACCTCTGGAAGGTTAAGTCCAGTCAAAGGCGACTATGGGGTTGCAGCGCTCATCTCGCTTTCAGGCCGAGGGAGCCGGCGTTTGTCCACCGACAGGTTTCTAGGTGATGTGGCTAGCATGACTAAACTGCTTCTGGCACAACGGTACACTGTGGTGGAAACCAGAGCGCGTGGAAATGCCGTTTACCTTCCTGCTGCAGTGGTACCTATTTATCTACTTGCACTGGCCTGCTTTCGAAATGTTAGGTTGGCAGGAGCTGGGACAGGGCAACGGGAGCTCACTCCATCGCGGGGATTTGAACCGCTGACCTTCTGATCGGCAAGCCCAAGAGGCTCAGTGGTTTAGCTCCTTCTCGTGAGTTATCTTTTCAGCTAAATGTTAACTGCACATATTTTTATAGGAAAACAAAAGTTGCAAATCCTGCAAGGTTTTCCACTTGGGAGCCATTGGACTTCTGGCAGCTGCCATCACCCATGTCAAGTGTTCCTGAGAGCTGAAATATTTCAGTTGATTGTTCCACAGATTTAGTAGACAAAGCTGTGGTGAAGCTGGAATGGGATAATTGAGTATTTTGGTCAATTCTTGATAAGCCATTGTCAAGATATCTGGGGGCAGTCCACCCACCTCCCCACCCCCCCATGCAAACTGCCCATATGACACCACAATCTTCTCAGAATTGTTGGAGAAGCTGTGGAAAAAAGAGGCACTTTTCTCACATATGGTGGGACTGCCCCCAGATATCTTGACAATGGCTTATCAAGAAATGACCAAAATACTCAGTTTTGGTCAGGATTTTCAATTTTTGCTTTGCTGTAAAAATATGTGCAGTTAACATTTATCTGAAAAGATAACTGAAGAGAAGGAGCTCCTGTGACAGTGTAATGAAAAATGGTGGGAGGAAACTCTTCCCCATGAACAGGTGCAAAGTCAGTGTCAGCTGTTGCATGACTTAGATTGCCTACCATTCTGCTGAGTTTGGCGTTGACGAAAGTGAGGTCATCCAGAGTTAGCAGTAACTTCTTAGGCCCTTTGATGACTTGGCGATAGAGGGTGCTGTGCCTGAAAAGGAGCCAGGAGAGCACCGTTATGTTTTGTAACTATCTATACAGATCATAGCAAATCATGGCAACTTTACATGGGTCTGCTGGAAGGTGTCTGGTAGGCAGGTGGCCCAGTCAAATTATGGAACCCTGGGGGTGAACAGAGTCTATAATTCAGGATAACCACCTTTCAGTTGGGGTTGGGTGGACTTTGAGGTCTTTTTCTGGTGAAAAGCAGTACATAAATACTGGAAATAAATAAAGTAAGTAAGTATGTAAGTAAGTATCAGGAGTCCAGGTTCCCCACTTGATAACACAGTAAGCGTAGGTAATTAAAAAGGAGGATTTATTGCAAAAACAAACAGATAGCTCTGGACGGCTTCAACCAAGCCTCCGGCATCATTACTCAAGATGACCCTTCTGAAGACTCCTTCCAGAGATGACAGAAGATATTGAATTTACGACCCTTATGTCTCTTGTTTTGCTTCCTATCTAACAGCCATCCCAATCACTGACTCTTTGAACTGAGTGGATCAGCTCCAACCCCTTCCTGCTCTGAGAGGCTGGTCATGCCTTTTTGTGCTTTCTGTGAGCTTTGGCTGTGTTCTAGCCTGCTCTCAGCTACTGCCTTATCAGCTCACTCGTCAAGGTTAGGAAGAGTCGGAGTCTGCAGCTGCCGGCTCTCCCCTGCCTGACTAACATCTGAGTCTCCCTGTTCCTGGATGCTTTCTGCAGTTGACTGCAAACCTTCACTTGAAGCTGGCTCATTCCTGACGTAGGTAAGTAAGTAAGTACAACAGCCTGGAGTGCAAAAACTGAGCCTTGCCTGTAGATAAAATAGATGGGAAGCTTCAGTTGCCTAATTAGAGCATGTTGCTCTACTTTAGTTCCACAACAGCATAAGATTGCCCCCCTCCAGATGGCAATAATGGAGAAACATTGGGGAAGCATTGCAGAACAACGATTAAAGTGGAATGATTGCACAACAACTAAGGAAATGCGGGCAGTCCAGTACAAATCCATCACAAATGCACTATTATTGTATCAATGATGCAGTGTGATTGCTTCTTATGTGGGGGTCTGGGGAAAATGTGTATATGCAAACCCTAGGAATTATACCCCACGTGAACATCCCGGGACAGAATCAGTGCACCATCTTCAGATGTCCTGGGATGCTCTCGGGAGATCTCATGGGGCCATCTGAGTTCCTGCAAGATCTTCAATAAACCACTTCCATTCTTTTATAAAAAGTTTGTTATCTTGATTTCTTATTGTTCAGGTATGTTTCGCCATTTCTGCACATTCCGTAAGTTTTTGAATCCACTATTCCTGTGCTGGGACTTCTGCTTCTTTCCATTTTGGGGTAAGTAACATTCTTGCCGCTGTAGTCGCGTACATGAATAAGTTTCTATGCAGTTTTGGTAGTTCTGTCCCTATAATTCCCCAAAGAAAGGCTTCTGGGTTTGTTTGTTTTTACAAAGTTTATTTTAAACATCCTTTTCAATTCATTATAGATCATATCCATGGGAAATCGTATCCCATTCTGGGTAGTAAAGGTAAAGGGACCCCTGACCATTAGGTCCAGTCACGTACGACTCTGGGGTTTCAGTGCTCATCTCGCTTTATTGGCTGAGGGAGCCGGCATGACCAAGCCACTTCTGGCGAACCAGAGCAGCACACGGAAACGCCGTTTACCTTCTCGCCAGAGCGGTATCTATTTATCTACTTGCACTTTGACGTGCTTTCAAACTGCTAGGTTGGCAGGAATTCTGGGTAGTAGGTAAAAACTAAAAAGGTAAAGGACCCCTGGACGGTTAAGTCCAGTCAAAGGCGACTATGGGGTTGCAGCAGTCTTCTGCTTTCAGGCGTTTGTCCACAGACAGCTTTCTGGGTCATGCGGCCAGCAGGACTAAACCGCTTCTGGCTCAACGGGACACTGTGACAGAATCCAGAGCGCACTGAAACGCTGTTTACCTTCCTGCCACAATAGTACTGGCCACAGGCAGGGAGAGGACAGGAAGGAGACAGGAGAGCAAACAAGTGGAGGAGGGAGGGAGGGAGGGAGGGAGGGAGGGAGGGAGGGAGGGAGGAAGGAAGGAAGGAAGGAAGGAAGGAAGGAAGGAAGGAGAGAAGCAAAAGTGTCCTGAGTTGAGGGAGCTTTTGCTTCTCTCCTTCCTTCCCTCCCTCCTCTACATGTTTGCCTCCTTCCCATCTTCTCCCTGCCTGTGGCCAGCGCCAGACACTGCTCTGTGGGGCTTTCGGCATGGCGCCTCCTCCTCTGAGGAGACCCGAGAAGACTCCCGAGTCAGCGGAGGGTGGCGGACCTGCTGCTGGGTTCCCCTGCTGGGCGGGCGCTGTGGTGCATGGCGCCACTCAGCCAAATGGAAAAGATAGCTCTGAGTACCTATTTATCTACTTGCGCTGGTGTGCTTTCAAACTGCTAGGTTGGCAGGAGCTGGGACCGAGCAACAGGAGCTCACCCTGTCCCGGGGATTCAAACCGCTGACCTTCTGACCAGCAAGCCCAAGAGGCTCAGTGGGAGTGGCGGGCTCCTACCTACCTCATGTCATTATCTCAATTCATAGATCAAATCCAAAAGCCAGTCACCCAATTACATGACCCAGATCAATTTCGCCTCCACCCGTGGCTGATGAAGATATCTGAGTCATTCACTTGAGCAGGCTATAAGGACCAGAATGAATGAATGTGGAGATGTCAGAAGGTCTTAGGACAGCTTTGGTTATCTTGGTGCAGGTGGAAGGCTGGCGGGTTATCCCTCCCAGGCCCAGACAGAGGGGGGGCCATATGGGCCACTTGGCCTGGGCCTCCGATTCCAAAGGGGGCCTCAGTCAGCATATTCACAATCCTTTTCCCTATGTATTTTTTAAAAGCACTATTGTATATCTATATTTTCCATTTTGTCTTTATATGCAGATACAGTTCAAGCCTTGAAATAGAATTATTTGTCAGCATAACTTTTGTGGAAATTATTAATATACTTACCTTTTTATAAGACTTCAGTTATCCCCAGGGTAAAAAAGGGGGGGCACATTATCACCTGGCCGGGGCCTCTGCCTGGCTCTGCAAGGCCCTGATCCCTCCTGTAAATCAGAAGGTGATTTCATGGTTCCCCAGAGAGCATCTGATCTGCATTGTATTGACTCTGGACGCAAGCCTCTTTCTGGCATGCTGGCCGGACCACCCTCACTCTGAAGAAGCGCGCACCATTCTTGGGCCAAGAAGCAACAGCTGCAACAACAGCAACACCTTCTGCACACACCCTACATTTCGTAACCATCGCCGGGGGTGGCTGGACAAGGCGGGAGACCGTGATTTCCCAAGCTTCACGCAAAGGCGTATTTATGTACCATGATACTTTACCAAATTTGAGGCACTCGCTGTCAGAGACAGGCTGGAAAACAAGGAGTGGTGGGAGGCACCAGACGTGGAACCAACCCAAGGGAAACCCCAGAGGAGGAAGGCTCAAGGGAACCCCCAAGGGAATCCCCAGGGTAGGAAGGTGGGGCTTCAAGGAGAGGTCAGAAGTGGAAGATTGAGAAGACGTGCTCGATGCTGATGGAGAAACAGGGTTTAGTGAGCAGGAGGAGCCTGTGACAGGGAGCAGTTCAGACTCTGGCGCTGAAACAGAGGGGGGTCAAGGGACTGCTGGAAAATCCAGGCAACTGCACAGTCCGGGGGAAAACAATGCTGTCCAGGGTTGTAAAGACTGCGGAAAGAATAATTGGGTACACTCTTCCCACCTTGGATCAAATCTATGCTTCCAGGTGCCATAAGAAAGCTGCAGAGATAGCGCAGGATAGTACGCACCCCGGAAATGATCTCTTTCAGCCTCTGCCTTCTGGAAGAAGGTCCAGGGTTATAAAGACTAGGACTAGCCGCCTGAGAAACAGTTTCTATCCAAATGCGATTTTGGTTTTAAACACGGTGGAAGGTAGTCTCTATGGGAGTATATTGTATTTTAAAAATGGGGTATCAGAGTTTTTAGGGGGCTAACCAGGTTGGGATAGCTGAAATAGCAGGCTTGCTGGTTTTGAATGCCTTATGTAGATTTTTTTTTCAGTTTCGTTGTTCTGTATGGGACAATGACAATAAAGATTATCGTATCGCCTCTCTCTCCTGCTGTAACAAGCTCCTACACCCGGGTCTCCAAAAATTTGCAAAGTAATGGGGAGGTCAGAGGTGCGCAGACACAGTTTGAGACTGATTGGGAAACATCCAGGAAAGGAGAAGCCTTAGAAAGGTGGAAGGCAGAGACCTTCAATCCTGGCAACTGCTCCATAGTGGGTGTTGCTGAGACCACTAAGCCGAGTTGTATGTTCCTTGAATGTTGTTGTTTAGTCGTTTAGTCGTGTCCGACTCTTCGTGACCCCATGGACCAGAGCATGCCAGGCACTCCTGTCTTCCACTGCCTCCCGCAGTTTGGTCAAAGTCATGCTGGTAGCTTCGAGAACACTGTCCCGCCATCTCGTTCTCTGTCGTCCCCTTCTCCTTGTGCCCTCCATCTTTCCCAACATCAGGGTCTTTTCCAGGGAGTCTTCTCTTCTCATGAGGTGGCCAAAGTATTGGAGCCTCAGCTTCAGGATCTGTCCTTCCAGTGAGCACTCAGGGCTGATTTCCTTCAGAATGGAGAGGTTTGATCTTCTTGCAGTCCATGGGACTCTCAAGAGTCTCCTCCAGCACCATAATTCAAAAGCATCCATTCTTCGGCGATCAGCCTTCTTTATGGTCCAGCTCTCACTTCCATACATCACTACTGGGAAAACCATGGCTTTAACTCTACGGACCTTTGTTGGCAAGGTGATGTCTCTGCTTTTTAAGATGCTGTCTAGGCCTGTCATTGCCCTTCTCCCAAGAAGCAGGCGTCTTTTAATTTCGTGACTGCTGTTCCTTAAATAAAGAGTTAACTTCATTGACAACAGAGATCTGCTTCCTTTATTACTGACCTGCGACTGACTCCAGCCCTGACACCCCCACCCTCTCTGGGCCCATATTAGTCCCTCGGAGAAGAGGCTGCCCGACTGCTCTCTGTGTGATCCACTTCCTTCCTTCCAGTCAGCCTAGGAAGGGGAACTTCATCATTCCTCCATCACGGGTGCAACCAGGTCATTCAATCAACCCCAAAACCGACTCTCTGTAACTCCCAAGCTATTCATGTTAGGCAGTCATGTTCACTGTATTACTTTTGGCACAGCAGAATTATCCACGCTCAGAGAAGGTTGCCTGTCGCACCCCAGCCTGAGTCTCCCTTCTTGGACTTGCCTCTGTCCCATCTGACTCTGCTGGGGGAAGTTAACTTGGCTGCATCGGAGATGATTTTATCACTGAAGCACTCGCAATGCACAGGCCCAGCTAAATTATCAGTCCTGTTGCACCCCAGCATGAATCACTGCTCAGTCCTCTTCTCCTTCACAAGCATATCATTAAAGCATCCCCCCCCCCTTTAAATTGTACTTTTTCTATGGAAACACTTAGATTCAGTTAATATAAGTACAGTGTCTTTCAAGCAGTTGTTGTTTTTTTTACAAACCAAGCGGTGTACAGATTTTACAATGCAGATAAATTCTGAAATAAATAAAGCTCATCTCAAACCCCATCCCAAAATAGGTGTTTGCTCTTCACATGGCACCAGCCTCGGAGAGCTTGCTTCGGCATTTCCAGACATTTCCAGTTCTTTGTTAAGTATCGAAGTGTCTCGGATCGTTCCAAATTTCCTTCGAAGCAAATCATGTAGGTGAAATTGGAAATCCCTTCCCCTGGAGAAACACCCATGGGATTTACGTGGGAAATAGTGGTACCTTGGTTCTCAAACAATGCCTTGGTTCCCAAACGCCGAAAAAACAGAAATAAGTGTTCTGGTTTTTGAACGTTTTTTGGAAGCTGAACGTCCGATGCGGCTGTCAGCTATTGTTTCTGGGGTGCGCCTTGGTTTTCGAACATTTTGCAAGTCAAACAGACTTCTGGAACCGATTAAGTTTGGCGCTTTTATTTCCGCTATTAATTTTGCATTTTTGTTTTTGAGGTTTTCCCCGGTTCATTTGTTTTTGTGACTCTGTGGTACCCAGTTCAGCTACTGACTGATTGTGTGACTGCGGAAATGGATCAAAGCCCCCCGTCCAAACGACAACTATCATCAGTGCAGGTAAGAAGAAAGAATAATTTTACTTTTTATCATCTACAATACTGTCTTATTCATTTTATAGTACAGTACATTGATTATTGCTTTCGTTTTAGGGACCAGTGGTCTCGTTAGATAGTACAATTCATGCTAAATTGCTGCTTTGGGGTTGCTTTTAAAAGTCTAGAAAAGGGTTAATCCGTTTTGCATTGCTTTCTATGGGAAAGCGTGCTTGGTTTTGGAACGCATTGGTTTTGGAACAGACTTCTGGAACGGATTAAGTTTGGGAACCAAAGTACCACTGTCAATCACAGTTTCAATAAACCTGCCAAATTTTATCAGTCGGTGGCCCACACAACCCTGCTCAGATAAACTGATTCAGGTTGTACAATCAAGCTCTGCTGTTGTTATTGCCTATCTCTCTTCAGTTCTGGGATGTCTTGTTGGGAATCCAAGTTTGCCCCCCCAAAAACAAACAAACAAATAACTATCCTCTACAACAGCTTCCTCTACCCCATGTCCTCCAGAGACTTTTCTTCAGCTGGGAATGAAGACTCTTGTGACACCTGAAAGCTCTTTCTTGTACGCATCCATCTGGTATGAAGGCTGAGACCCTCCCTGCCCGCAGAGTGTCTCTCCAGAGTGGTGCATGCTCTAGTTATCTCTCGCTTGGACTACTGCAATGCGCTCTATGTGGGGCTACCTTTGAAGGTGACCCGGAAACTACAACTAATCCAGAATGCGGCAACTAGACTGGTGAATGGGAGCGGCCGCCGAGACCATATAACACTGGTCTTGAAAGACCTACATTGGCTCCCAGTACATTTCTGGGCAGAATTCAAAGTGTTGGTGCTGACCCTGAAAGCCCTAAACAGCCTCGGTCCAGTATACTACCAGACTTTTAGAAGACATCTGAAGGCAGCCTTGTTTAGGGAAGCTTTTAATGTTTAATAGTTTATTGTATTTTAATATTCTGTTGGAAGCCGCCCAGAGTGGCTGGGGAAACCCATCCAGATGGGCGGGGTATAAATAATAAAATATTATTATTATTATTATTATTGCCTACCAGGGATCTTCTACAAAAGTAGGGATGCAGATGGATGTCATAGTGCAATTTTGGTCTCAAGCTGTTTTTGGACTACAGATCCTATCATCCCTGACCACTGGTCCTGCTAGCTAGGGATGATGGGAGTTGTAGCCTGAAACAAGCTGGAGACCCACGTTTGGGAAACCCTGCTATAGTCCAACGACATCACCCTGGCCTAGAGCATTTTAGGGTCAATGCCAAACGTTGCAAGTGGGCGCTTGCTCACCTTAATGTGTTAATGATTCGGTGCTCTTATTTTTCTAAGTGCTAAGCAGGAAATCTGTGAACTCCTGAATTGTCAGAGGATTTTGAACACCTGGCATGTCATAATTGTTCCACGCGTAACACTTAGTTAGCACAATTTATTTCCCAAGGTTTGCAGTCATTAACCAATTAGACCTACCAGTAACTCTCCCTTTGTGAGACTGAAGGATTGTCGATGACTCAGAATAGACAGTCGACAAAACGTGGAACGGATTCCTGCCTATGGTTGGGTTGGAAGGAGCCGTGCAAGCCAAATGGAGCCTGAATGAACTCTGTGCTAGAGTGGATTGCTAAGTTTGTACCAAGCTGGATGTTCCATGCGAATTTGGATGGCCAGCCAAAGCTGAGAACCTGTTTTGCATCTGTTAAATTATGTAACTTATGTTTTTATATTGTGATTTAATCTTGTGAACCACCCTGAGACCTGTGGCTATAGGGCTATAGACTACTACTATAACAACAACTATTACTTATAATAATAAATGTACAAAGCCCTCATTATTATTAATCATGCATGTATCTAGGGATGAGGAAGAACTATCCCTAGGACAACTATCCCTCTCACCTCAGGCCACACCCCTCATTGGCTCTGATTCTGTTGTTACATAGGGTTACTGATTCACACTTGCATGCATGAAAGAGTTAACCTGAGCCCAGAGATAAGGTTGAGGGGGGGGGCTTAACAGGTTCTCAGCAGGCTCTGCCCCCCAATCTGTCTAGTGATTCCTGGAATAAGCAAAGAAGGAGACATGCAGTCAATGGCTCCCAGTTGCAGGAAAAACCAAGTGAATTGAATCTATCCAGAAGAGAGATTGTATAGCCTGCATCTTTGCTAACCCAAAGACTGCAGGTGCTTTTTTGTAAGGAAACCAAGTACTGCAAAAAAAGGGGGGGGCAATTGCAACCTTTTTCTTTTTTATTCACTGCCATCAGATGGAGACTTGTTTTCGGTGACTTCCGGAAACTCTGCGAGTAAAGCATTCACTTACTCGCAAAGCTACATGTCTGTGATTTATTCTAGCCTAAGTATTTTTGTGGGAAACATTTGTTTAAAGATGGATGAGGGCAGATGTAAATCTAACCAGGTTTTAATGTGCTTGGAGCAATTGCCATTGCGCTAACTCTGCTGCAAGAGAATAAGGATCTCGTTCCCAAATCTTTCTCTCCAACAGCTTTGCACCCTCCAGGAGTGCTTTGTCTGAGTGAAAGGTATCCCTGAACTCTGGCAATGCCTCTTGCTTGTCTCGATGGAGAATGGAGGGGCATGTGTAAGTGTGTGTAGAAGCGAGCCTGCTGGGCAAAAGTAATATATATTACCCCACCCACTTTGGCCCCTCCCACCACTGACATGTGGTCCTCAGAAGGTCACCCAGAAGGGAATTTGGCCCTTGGGATCAGAAAATGTTTTCCCGATCATGGCTCAAATGTTACAATGAGCTTGTCAGCTGAGTCAGGGGGCAAAGCTTTTGCCTCCGGACCAGTGAGCTAAGCAGAGGCCTTCTTCAAAACTAGAAAGAGAAGAAAATGCTCTTACCTGATCAGGTACGCCAGGCACATCCCGAAGAGCAGAAGGGTGAGTGGTGGCAGCAGGATTAAGACCACGACGGGAGGCTCCAGACCTAGACAAGTAACAGGGACAAGAGATGGGTCAAGGCAGGGCTACCAGAACTGTTTCCATCCCAGGTGGTCATTCTAAAAACTGTGACTTTAAGAAGCTTGCTCTTTACTTTTTCCTCTTCCCTCTCCACACCTCTTTCCTCGTGTGACATATCTTTTTAGTTTTTTTAGCCCAAGGGCAGGGATTGTCTTACTACAGTGTGGTGTAATGGTTATACTGTTGGACTAGGACCTGAGAGACGAGGGTTCAAATCCCCACTCAGCCATGAAGCTGACCTTGGGCCAGTTGCCATCTCTTCGCCTAGACTGCCTCGCAGGGTTGCTGTGAGGTTGAAATGGGGAGGAGAACCATGTACATAATAATAATAATAATAATAATAATAATAATAATAATAATAATAATAATAATAATAATAATAATAATAATTACCCCAGCCACTCTGGGCGGCTTCCCACAGAATATTAAAATACAATAACCTATTAAACATTAAAAGCCCTAAACAGGGCTGCCTTTAGAGATCTTCTGAAAGTCTGGTAGTTGTTTTTCTCTTTGACATCTGGTGGGAGGGCGTTCCGCAGGGCAGGTGCCACTGCCGAGAAGGCCCTCCGCCTGGTTCCCTGTAACTTGGCTTCTCGCAGGGAGGGAACCGCCAGAAGGCCCTTGGAGCTGGACCTCAGTGTCTGGGCTGAACGATGGGGGTGGAGACGCTCCTTCAGGTATACCGGACCGAGGCCGTTTAGGGCTTTAAAGGTGAGCACCCACACTTTGACTTGTGCTTGGAAACGTACTGGGAGCCGATGTAGGTCTTTCAAGACCGGTGTTAATGGTCTCGGTGGCCGCTCCCAGTCACCAGTCTAGCTGCTGCATTCTGGATTAGTAGTTTCCAGGTCACCTTCAAAGGTAGCCCCACAGAGAGCACATTGCAAGCGGGAGATAATCAGAGCATGCACCACTCTGGGGAGACAGTCTGCGGGCAGATAGAGTCTCATCCTGCATACCAGATGGAGCTGAAAAATAGCTGCCCTGGACACAGAATTGACCTGCCCCTCCACGGACAGCTGTGAGTCCAAAATGACCCCCAGGCTGCACACCTGGTCCTTCAGGGGCACAGTTACCCCATACAGGACCAGGGAGTCCTCCACACCTGCCTGCCTCCTGTTCCCCCATAAACAGTACTTCTGTCTTGTCAGGATTCAACCTCAATCTCTTAGCCACCATCCAATGAGCTCCTAGGAAGGTATTGCAATTCGCTTTGGGGTATCTCATGAGAAGCAATTAATAAATGAATAATAGCTGCAAGCATTGCCTACTCTGGCTGGCAACATCTCAAGCAGCGGTCTTGCCCAGCGCTTGCCCCCTGGAGATCCTTTTACCTGACAATGCCAAGGACAGAAGCTGGCCCCTCTTTGCTTACAAACCCTGTGCTCTTCCACTAAACTGCAGTCCCTCTCTGGAGGTTTCTAGTGTTAATATGTTAACTTTTGCCCCAACTTTAGCTGCAAACAAAATGCCTGAAAGTCATTTGTCCCCCGCCCACCCCCCGCTCAGGGAAGAACTATCTGCGAGGCTCCCACAGTTTCTTGACTGCCACCTTTGTCTTTGGAAACAACTCAAATTATATTAAGTTCTTTTCTTTTCTTGCTAAGATAAGCCAAGTATTCCCCGGGCCATTTCTAATTGCCAGAAACCAGCGTAAACACACAACAGCCATCAGCAGCGAGGAGATCTACAGCTCAAATACCCCAGATCTGCTTTACAGTGGTACCTCGGGTTCCATACGCTTCAGGTTGCAGACTCCGCTAACCCAGAAATAGTACCTCGGGTTAAGAACTTTGCTTCAGGATGAGAACAGAAATCATGCTCTGGCGGTGCGGCAGCAGCGGGAGGCCCCATTAGCTAAAGTGCTGCTTCAGGTTAAGAACAGTTTCAGGTTAAGAACGGGCCTCCGGAACGAATTAAGTACTTAACCCGAGGTAGCACTGTATTGTAAACTTGGGCGGGGCAGAGGGACTCAGGACCTGAAGGCTAAATGTGGCCCCCAACCCTCTCTATTTGGCCCTTGGGAATCTCACTAGGCCATACAACCCCTGAGCCCTGCTCCGTGCCGCCCCTTCGGTGTTTTTGCCTGGCTGGAAATGTGTCCAAGATCTGAGATAAAGCCTCTATAATACTGATCTTTAAATGGTTGAAACCATTGTGACACCTGCTGGAGAAGGCTGGACAATACATTTAACAAGAACAAACAAATAAGTTTGTCCTTCCTTGCTCCATCTGCTTTTGCCTCTGTCCCCACCCACATCTGCCCCCCGGCCCCCGGAAGATCGTCTTGTTAAGGAAAAAAATTCTGGGGTGAGAGACTACTTAACAGTCCAGCTTGTCGGGCTCAGATAATAAAAACGTATGTGTTAAGTTGTGGGTGAACATATCAGACGACACAGCGATTCTTCAAATAGCTCTTGTTTATTCACAGGCCAGAACAGAACTGAACTGAAAGGCTCAGTCAGCCTGCTTATGTAGAGCTCCACTACAACGTAACCGTAAACATTTTCTGTAACTATCCAATGACTGAACGTCACTTTGACTCCCTTATTTGCATATGTGGACCTGAGTGAAAACTATCCACAGTATCCCCCTACTGGCCCAGGGTGAAAGCTTCAGTACATAACAGTATGTGTTTTTAAACAGCTGATAAAATGGAGTGATAAAAAGGTTGTTTATGTATGCCACTACTGCGGCCCATGTTTCGTTAGCCTGCAAATGGAAATTGAGCGAAGTCCCAACTAAAGAAGAATGGCAACTGAAACTGATGGAATATGCACAGCTTTCGGACCTAACACATAGAATAAGAGAACAAGAAGAACATACGTTTATTTGAAAATGTGGGCAGCATGAAGATAAATTCAACAGTGTAAATAAGTTTTGATGGATGTAATAATGGAATACTGAATGGTTTTAGCTTATGTAAAATATGCAGGGATTTATGTTATGCAAAATGAACCATGGAAAGAGAAGAAGGGAGTCATTGATATTTTAAAGATGTTTAAATGAGTACAGTGGTACCTCTAGATGCAAACGGGATCCGTTCCGGAGCCCCGTTTGCATCTAGAAGCAAACGTAACCCGTGTCCGCACGTCTGCGCGTGCATGGGTCATGCTTTGGTGCTTCTGCGCATGCGCGTGACATCATTTTGAGCATCTGTGCATGCGCAAGCGGCGAAATCGGGAAGTAACGTGCGCCGTTACTTCCGGGTTGCCTCAGAGCGCAACTCGAACGCGCTCATCCCGAAGCACATTCAACCCGAGGTATTCTAAATTGTAAAACAGAAAATTCAATTAAAAATTATTTGGGGAGGGAGAACAGAGCAATAAAAATAAACATCAGGAAAGGAAGGGTGGGAAGTTATGGGTGTATAAAAATATTATATGGTTTGAAATATCTCCAGAGACGTAATAAAAACGATACATGGATTAAGAAGGAGTGTCAACAAAGTGCAAGAATGTTAGATATGGGCGATACGGGCACCACTTACCTCTGATGCAGGGAACATCTGGATCGAACCAACAGCTAGAATCAGCTGGGGGTGGGCTTCCACCCGGAAAGTGTACCGCCCTTCCCAGGGGTTGTACCAAGGCAGAGGACGCCACCAGCAAGGAGGTAGGGAAGAAATGGCTCCCTCTGCCGTCTGTGTCCAGCACAACATATTGGGCGAGAGGTTTTCCTTTGCTATCTGCCTCTACCCTGCGGCTGAACCCAGCAAAGTCAAGGTTTCTGACGTGCTGAGTCAACGTTTCCCCCGAGACCTCAGTCGCCCCCTGTTGATGAGCCTTGGCTAAAGCTTTTGCGACCAGGTAGATGGCATCATAGATGGTGCCGAAGAGTGGAGAGACCTGAAAAAGACGACAGGTTTTTAGCGCCTACCAAAACCTGGGAAATGGCAAACTAGAGCTGACATCCGTCATAGCATTCAGCTGACTTTTGCTTCCACAAATGCCCAGTATGGGGAGGAGAGAGCAAGCGAAGGATGGGGGAGATATTTTGTGAAATAAAGAAATCCAGCTCCCCAACTCTCTTTTCCACCTGACTCCAAATGTTGCCTATTTGGGAAAGAAAAAGGAGCTAAACCAACGTGCAGTGTTGCAAATGGCTTCTAGCCATTCTTGGTTAATTACTGGGGAAAGCCATTGTGTTCAAAATTTATGGAAGTGCAGAGAATATCTCCTGAATGGTGAGGCTTGCTGACCTCCCGGTGAAGCAAAAATTCAATCTTCTCCTGTTAGGCAAAGACCACAAGACGATCCGGATTGTTCCCTAACAACAAGCCCTGGCTAAACAGGGATGTGTATCTTCTGTTAAAGGCAAGAAATGCTGCTTTTCACTCTGGTGATGCGAAACAGTATAGAGAAGCCAGAGCCAAATTGAAAAAGGGCATTAGGAACGCCAAAGCTATGTACTGCCGGAGGATCGAAAAACATTTTGAGAGCTCCGACCCTCGTCGAGTATGGCAAGGCCTGCGACAAATTACAGGGCAAAATATTAAAAACGAACTGGCTAGCAGCAGTGCGCACCTGGCTGATCAACTGAATCAATTTTTTAGTCGCTTTGAGGAGGGAACTGGAACTACCGTCACTACAGCATTGGCTACCAGCACATCATCAGAAACTACTACTGATAGACAACCATTTTTATTACAGACCTGTGACGTACAACGTGCCTTTCGGAGCATTAACATTAGGAAGGCAGCTGGACCGGATGGAATCATGGGACGGGTTATTAGGGACTGCGCTGCAGAATTAGCTGGCGTATTTACGGACATTTTTAACCTATCCCTGTTGCAGGGTTCTGTCCCTACCTGCCTGAAGACATCGATTATAGTGCCAGTCCCCAAGCAGTCAGTGGTGGTATCTCTCAATGACTATAGACCAATAGCCCTAACATCTGTCGTTATGAAATGTTTTGAGAGATTGGTGCTAGATCATATTAAGGCTGGTCTTCCATCCACTCTAGACCCGTTCCAGTTTGCATACAGAAGAAACAGATCTACTGATGATGCTATTTCCATCGCTGTCCATACTGTACTGAGTCATCTAGAACGACAGGGAACCTACGCAAGGCTGCTGTTTGTGGACTACAGTTCTGCCTTCAATACAATTCTGCCAGACAGGTTATTTCTTAAAATGACCAATTTGGGTATACATCAGAAGATCTGTCTGTGGGTAAGGAATTTCCTGACTGATAGGCCGCAGACAGTGAGAATGGGACCTTACTATTCTTCTACTCTAGTATTAAGCACAGGAGCCCCTCAGGGATGTGTGCTAAGTCCCTTTCTCTATTCCCTGTACACATTTGATTGCACCCCACTGTATAAGTCCAACACAATCATCAAATTTGCGGATGATACAACAGTGGTGGGGCTCATTAGTGAGAACGATGAGACTGCTTATAGGAAAGAAGTACAGGGGTTAATTCAATGGTGTAAAGAAAACAATCTTATGCTTAACACCAAAAAAACCAAAGAACTCATAATTGACTTTAGGAGAAAGAAAAGTGTATTTTTACCATTGCACATAAATGGCGAGGAGGTGGAGAGGGTTGGTAGTTTTAAATACCTGGGCATTTATATCTCTGAGGACCTCTCATGGACTGCAAATATTAATATGGTTGTGAGGAAGGTGCAGGGGAGGTTGTATTTCCTGAGAATGCTCAGGGGACTGAATCTATCTCAGCACCTACTTCTGTCCTATTATCACAGTACCATCGAGAGTGTCTTAACCTATAGTATATTATCGTGGTATGGGAGCAGCTCTGAAACGGATAAAAAAGCTTTACAGAGAATAATTAAAATTGCCCAGAATGTTATTGGGCTCCAACTACCAACCCTGGATGAGATCTTCACGTCTCGCACTTTGAAGAAGTCACACAATATCCTGAGAGATCCCACCCATCCTGCTCACAACTTCTTTGAACTGTTGCCTTCGGGCAGAAGATATAGGACAATGAAAACACGAACCACACGCCTTCTGAATAGTTTCTATCCAAGAGCTCTGATTGCACTAAATAATGATCTCAGGGCCAGCTGCAAGGAATAGCAAGCAGGAAGTAGGAAGGAATGAGATAGGTTTTAGGTTATGTTATGCCTTTAATAGGTTATGTTATATTCTGGATTATGTTATGTTTTTATAGATTATGTCTGAATAGGATGAGAGTGATGGAGATACGTGCAAATGTGTATGTGAACCCGGTCTTTGGGTGGGTGTTTGATTTTCGTTGTTGTGTATACTGTGTATATACGGACAATGACAATAAATTTATCTAAATCTAAATCTAAATCTAAATTGTCGCCAGATTTTGTGCACAGACCATCCCCCGATTCAATCTAGTTTGTTAAGAAAATTCCCAAACCCGGATCCAGGGGCGACTTTGGGTCATTTCTCTAAGGTAGCCTATTTTAAAGTTTGTATGTGTTTATATGCCTATCGCACTTTTAAACTTAAAAGCCATTGTTGTATATTGTTTTAAATGTTTGTTTTGCTATTGGGATTGTGGTTCCATTTGCGTTTCTCAAGCTGGTTTTCTGACCATAATAAATTTCATGTTCATGTATCTCCTGAATGGAGTGCGAGGTTTTTTGCTGAGCTCACTTGCGAGGTTGCCCAAAGCAGGTTTGCAAGGTACCTTCCTTTCATTCTACAAATCACTTCCCTGGTGGTCCATTGTGTCTTGTGGGGGTAGAAGACAGGAAGATCCACAGTAGGTGGATCACAGACAAGGACACCTGGGGTTTGGTCCTTCCTTCCTCTCTGCCAAGTGCATTTCTACAGCTATAATGTGGAGGTGGATTACTGAAGAAGGCAGCCGTGATTGATTAAGATGGGTGCAGGAATGATATTTAGCTTTACATTTACATTTCCAGGCACAATTCAAAGTGTTGGTGCTGACCTTTAAAGCCCTAAACAGCCTCGACCCAGTAGACCTGAAGGAGCATCTCCACCCCCATTGTTCACTGAGGTCCAGCTCCGAGGACCTTCAGGCGGTTCCCTCACTGTGAGAAGTGAGATTGCAGGGAACCAGGAAGAGGGCCTTCTTGGTGGTGGCGCCTGCCCTATGGAACACCCTCCCAGCAGATGTCAAGGCAATAAACAACCATCTGACTTTTAGAAGACATCTGAAGGCAGCCTTGTTTAGAGACGCCTTTAATATTTGATGAATTATTGTATTCAATATTTTGCTGGAAACCTAGCCAGCTGGATGGGGTATAATTTTATTATTATTATTATTATTATTATTATTATTATTATTATTATTATTATTATTATTTGGAGCAAAATGAAAGCCTTCTGCTCTATGCAGTCCTGACCTGCTCAGGTTCCAGATCGAGAGGGATTTCACCCCTTCGTTTCGCTGCCTCAAACGCCTCATAAAACGTTTTGTCCCCGGACTGCAAAGTAATGGTCAACACTGCGTCGTAGGCTTCCCGGAAGGAGCGGTCGTTGTCCAGAATGAAGTAGGAGTGGTTTCGGTACGGGAGGCTGTAGAACAACGTGTCGTACGGCAGGAAGACGTACCTGCCATCGGCCAGACCCATTTCTTGGGCCTTCGTAAGCAAGGTAGCCTGATCCTCTCCTCCGATGAGAGCCGAATGCATGCACAAAATGATAACTGTGGCACAGAAATCAAAGAGTCATTTTAAGAACACCAGAATGGCCAGGCTGCTGAATCAAACCAAAGGCCCAGGTATAATGACTCCCGACAGTGGAGGTAAAACATCATGGTCCTTACAAGAGCTGTATAAGGTACATAAGGCAGCCCAGGATTATTTCTGTCATAACAGAAGAGCCTTAATGGGTCAAATTAAAGGCCTATCTAACATACCCTCCAACATTCCTCAGATAAAAATAGGGACATTCTGTTCTACATCAGTAATAATTTATACATACATATGGGATGCGGGTGGCGCTGTGGGTTAAACCACAGAGCCTAGGACTTGCCGATCGGAAGGTCAGTGGTTCAAATCCCCACGACGGGGTGAGCTCCCGTTGCTCGGTCCCTGCTCCTGCCAACCTAGCAGTTCGAAAGCACGTCAAAGTGCAAATAGATAAATAGGTACCGCTCCGGCAGGAAGGTAAACAGCGTTTCCGTGCGCTGCTCTGGTTCGCCAGAAGTGGCTTAGTCATGCTGACCACATGACCCGGAAGCTGTCTGCAGACAAACACCGGCTCCCTCGGCCAATAAAGCGAGATGAGCGCTGCAACCTCAGAGTCGGTCATGACTGGACCTAATGGTCAGGGGTCCCTTTACCTTTACATATATACATTCATACATACATACCGCATCCATCTGGCTGGGTTTCCCCGGCCACTCTGGGCAGCTCCCAACAGAATATTTAAAACACGATAAAACATCAAACATTAAAAACTTCCCTAAACAGGGTTACTGTATCAGGTTTCTATTCCACTTTGCCCAGAAAACAAGGTGGCGCGGTGGGTAAAAGCCTCAGCGCCTAGGGCTTGCCGATCAAAAGGTCGGCGGTTCGAATCCCTGCGGCGGGGTGCGCTCCCGCTGCTCGGTCCCAGCGCCTGCCAATCTAGCAGTTCGAAAGCACCCCCGGGTGCAAGTAGATAAATAGGGACCGCTTACTGGCGGGAAGGTAAACGCCGTTTCCGTGTGCTGCGCTGGCTCGCCAGATGCAGCTTGTCACGCTGGCCACGTGACCCGGAAGTGTCTTCGGACAGCGCTGGCCCCCAGCCTATAGAGTGAGATGGGCGCACAACCCTAGAGTCTGTCAAGACTGGCCCGTACGGGCAGGGGTACCTTTACCTTTAAACAGGGTTGCCTTCAGATATCTTCTGCAAGTAAAACAGTTGTTGAATCCCACCCAAAACAGTGACAGTCTGCAAGCGCCCTGAAACCTTCTCTATTCCCGCTGGGCCAAGGGCTCGTTCTCACCCTCCTTACCTTTAATGTCACCGGCAGCTTGGATCTTGGCCCAAGTTCCTTCAGCATCTCCATCTCCTCTCCCCATTGAGGTGACGACACCCACCGGGAGCCCCCGGTTCCTCAGCGCCGTTGCCAACTTGTTAGCCGTGTCCCTCCAAAGCTCCTCTTGGGAAGAGACGATGCCGACATGAGCCCAGCTGAAATATTTCAACACGGAGAGAAGGATCCCCGGCGGAGAGGGTAACGTTCTTACAAAAGTAGGGTGGTGGCCTGGGCTGTCCAATTCGTCGCTGACGCAGGCCCAGGAAAACACAGCTTTGTTCCAGCTCCTGCCAAGCAGGGAGGCTGCGGTGCAGTAGCCTGGGTTCAGGGGACCTATGAAAGCTGACAGGTGCTTTTCATAGCCAATGAATCCAGCCAGGGCTTTAGAAGTTTGGCAGCCTTCCTCGCATAACATGCAGTCCAGCTGATGGGGAGAGTTAACAGAAGGGTCCACCCTTATCCGCTCCATAGCAAGCTTCGCAGCAACTTGGGGAAAAGCCTTGGAGAAGAAGGGGTCGCAGGTCCAAGGTCCCACCAGGCCGACGTTAAAGGCTGCGCAATATATTGGGAGAGGGAGCAGGGCCAAGCCAAGACCCGCCCACCACAGCCCCATGGCAATCTTGCAGGGCAGTGGAATTGTACATGGCTGCAGTCTTGCGCACCTTGAGACGTCTGAGAGGAAGCAGCTTGAACTTTGCAACGAAATGGCCATTGTCTCCTGGCTGATTAGTGGCGAGTGAAGAATGAATGAATGAATGCATCTAGGAGCCAGTGTAGTGTAGTAGTTAAGAGTGGTAGTCAAGTAATCTGGTGAACTGGGTTCACATCTCCGCTCCTCCACATGCAGCTGCTGGGTGACCTTGGGCCAGTCACACTTCTCTGAGGTCTCTCAGCCCCACTCACCTCACAGAGTGTTTGCTGTGGGGGAGGAAGGGAAAGGAGAATGTTAGCCGCTTTGAGACTCCTTCTGGTAGTGATAAAGTGGGATATCACATCCAAACTCTTCTCTTCTTCTTGTGTCAGCCATCGGCCATAGCAATAATACAACAATACAATAGGCAAAGAATAGAAATAAAAAGTCAGTTATATAAAATACAGTCGTAGCTCGAGTTACAGACGCTTCAGGTTGCGTTTTTTCGGGTTACAGATCGCTGAAACCCGGAAGTACCAGGACGGGTTACTTCCAGGTTTCGGTGGCCGCGCATGCACAGAAGTGCTAAATTGCGCTTTGCACATATGCAGAAGCACCGAATCGCAACCTGTGCAGACGCGCAGCTGCGGGTTGTGAATGCTGCAGGTTGTGAACGTGTATCCCGCGTGGATCACGTTCACAACCCGAGCATCCACTGTACATTTTAGGGTTTTGAATCAATACAGTGGTACAGTGGTGTAGCGTGGGGGGTGCAGGGGGGGCCGGCCACACCGGGCGCAACATCTGGGGTTAGGGCAAATCCACAGGTTAGGGGGCGCAAATTACTTGCCTTGCCCTGGGTGCTGACAACCCACGCTACGCCACTGCAGTGGTACCTCGGGTTACATACGCTTCAGGTTACATAAGCTTCAGGTTACAGCGCTAACCCAGAAATAGTACCTCAGGTTAAGAACTTTGCTTCAGGATGAGAACAGAAATCACGCAGCGGCAGCGGGAGGCCCCATTAGCTAAAGTGGTGCTTCAGGTTAAGAACAGTTTCAGGTTAAGAACGGACCTCCAGAACGAATTAAGTACGTAACCAGAGGTACCACTGTAGTCAAATAGGGCAGTGTTTCCCAACCACTGTTCCGCGGCACACTAGTGTGCCGCGAGATGTTGCCTGGTGTGCCGCGGGAAAAATTAAAAAATTGAAAGATTTTTATTTTATTTTAAGTCAAATTTTCGATTGGGGCGCCGTCACTAGATGACCCCTGGGGTTCCCTCCCTCCCTCCCGCTCTGCGCCTCCCTCCTCCTCCTCCTCCTCCTCCGGGGAGGCCCTTCCTGGCTCTCGGCCAAGGCTTGGCGGCTGCCACTCACTCACTCGCTCGCCCACCTGTCCCTCCATCCCTGCACCCGGCCTCTCCCCCTCCGTCCCCGGCGCGGGGGCTGCCGGGATCCGTAGTCCCCTTGCCCTTGGGCTCCGCGCCCGCGCGGGGTGCGCGAACTACGTTTCCCAGCGTGGCCTGGCGGGCCGGGCGTTTTGTTTGAAGCGCTCTTCTCCCGGCCATGGAATGAGCGCAGCGGTGGCGGCCGGGCGGGCAGGGGCTCTTCCGCGCAGACCCCGCGCAGCCTGCCTGCGCCCCCCGGAGATCGGGCGGCAGGATGGAGCCCGGGGATCCCCGCGGAGGCGGAGCGGCGGAGGCGGAGGCTGCCCCCCAGGAAGGGCTGCGTCGGGGGTTTTTTATTTTTGCAATGCTGCATCCGCGCCGGAGGGGACGCATCGGACCGCGGGGAGACCCCTTGGCGTGCGTGCAAGGCAATGCATGCGTGCAGGCGTTGCATGGAGTGCAGTGCAATGCAATGGCAACGCGTCGCCCTGCATGCATGCATGCAACTTCCACCGGCGCTCCGGACTTGGCAGGTGAGGGGGGTCCCCAGTGGGCGGCAGAGAGAGCCGGGAGGGCGAAGGGGAGCCGGGGGGGAGCAGCGCTGCTCCCCGAGCCGAGCCCGGGGGAAAACTTCGGCATCGTTGCGCCGGGTGTTGGAAGCGGAGGCTGGCGGGGGCCCCTCACCTGCAAAACCTGGTCGCCTCTCATATATTTTGTGCATTGCATTCATCGCCCGCTTTCTCCTCCAAGGAGCTCCCGGGGGCGCGCGTGGTTCTCCCCGTGTTATCCTCGCAACAACAGCCCTGCGAGGTGGGTCAGGCGAGTGGCCCAAGGGAGCACCCAGGGATTGTCCTGGCCAGGTGGGGTGATTTGAACCCTGCTCTCTGCCCGGTCTTCGTCCTCATTTAGCCCCCACATGTGCATGACTGTGCATGACTGAGGTTTTCCCCCCTCGTCTTGGCTATGGTGTGAGTCTGTGATGTTAATTAATGGGGTTCTGCCTTCGGAGAAGATGAGCCAGCCCTCAAGGAGGTGATTATGTAATTTGCTAGCAATTCATGTCCCTCCTGGCGTGACGCTGCGCGCTGACGTCACGGGGCTGTAATGGTGGTGTGCCTCGAGATTTTTTTCATGAAACAAGTGTGCCTTTGCCCAAAAAAGGTTGGGAAACACTGAAATAGGGGGTCTTATTATGACTGCCCCATCTGAAAACCTTGCAACATTTGTTGTCACCTGCTCCTCTTGTTCTGCCAAGAAAAAGGACACTGTGGCAGTGGCTGGGTGACCCGGAATGGACAATATATTTTAGAATTGCTAGGTTATGTAGACAGGGTGCCAGAGAGGGTGGCAAGTGAAGGTCTTTGGGGCTCCCTGGTCTGTCAACTGAGGATGCACATCACAAGTGGAATTGGTAGATTTTCTCCAGGTGGGATCCAGAAAGGACTAGCTCAGGGGCAGAGCATATGTCTTTCCCTCAGGACATCCCTGGGGAAAACGTTCCACAAATGGGGAACCACCACAGAAAGATTCTGTGAGGTAAGGACCACCAACTCTTTTTTTCTATTTTCTTTTTTTGTGCAGCTGTCAATAAATTTGTGAGCGAGTCCTTCATAGCCTGTCAACCTTCCACCCCACTGTAAATTGATAATAATGCTACCTCTGGACTTTAACCCAGTGATTTCTGTCATCTCCTTAAACACCCTTTGCCAAAAGAATTGTACATATTTACACCCCCACCACATGTGAACATAATTCCCTGTTTCCTGGCACCCCCTCCGATATAACACCGAATATTCCTTGTTTATTTGATCTAATCTGACTGGGGTTAAATACCATCTCCAAACTAATTTATATTAAAAAAAAATCTTCTATTCTTACAGTCAACATTTTCAGTATACAATTCTTCTATATATTTCCCCCCAGTTTTGACTATCTATCTGCCCTATCTATCACCTCTTTTTTGATGCCCATGGCAGCCATTTCATGCTGGCATCTGCAGCACTTTTATCAAGATACGAGTACTGGCACCTCATTTTTTACGCCCCCCCCCAAAAAAAGTGCGAATGACACCTGCACATTCAGGAAATCTTCTACAGCATCCTTGACCTGAGGCCCTTCAGCGTCTGCTTCAAAAATCCACCCCACTAAAAGGCAGTCTGCTCTTACAAGCTCGCACCACCAGCAAGTTCTTCCGTATGTTCAGCAAAAATATCCTCTTTGTTATATTTCAGCCCATTGCTCCAAGCTCTAGAAACTGAATGAGGCAAAGTGATATTGGTATTGGCCCAGGAACTTACCATTGGGGTGGGCTAGTCATGGAAATAAACCATTTTCCGCGACCATCTCTTATTTTCAAAGAGATCTTCAGCTATCTGTGTGGATGGGGAAACTGTTGCTCTGTGGGTTTTACGGAGATATTATTTCAGATCATCTTTCTAGCAGGTGCTCAAGATGAGGAGAGCCGTTTCCAACTTCACTTCGCGATGCCCACAAAAATAAGAGTAGCTATCCTCTCCCGTCCATCTGTTTCTTGACTGTTTGATCAAACGAGCTCTAATGGACCATTTTGGATCAGTTTTATCACAGTCAGGTTTTGGAGATCAGGACTTTGGAGAACGAGGCTGTATTTGGTCATTTGCAGTTGGTCTGCTTCCTCAATCTACATTTCATTCATCTACAAGAAAACCACATGGAATCAACTTACCGGCTCAGTTGAATGTAGTTACAGACATTACTGACCACCGCAACACAGCCAGCGCAGAGTTCGAGAGAGATACTTCACAACAGCAGGCTCAGTGGAAGCCCTTGGTTTTTCTTACAGCTTGAAGAAAATTCATTTACGAATGAAATAACCAGTCCTCAACTGCCAGAAGAGGCGCCGACAGTTGCCCTGAACTTGGTTATAGAAAATGGCACGTTCAGCACCAAGGAGAGTTCCTCCCTTGGGATTCCTAATTGGAACTGCTTTGACAGCAGGCTAACTAATGCTCTTGGTAGCGTATTATCAAATGAGGGGCGCTGCTCTCGTTTCAAAGTTGTTCTCCTTTGGGAGGCTGCCACCAACCTGAGTGTCTCAAAGTAGCCCCAAATGTGAAGCAGCATCTTAAATCCCAATTCCATCAGTGAGTGAGGCAGCGCTTGTGAACAGCCGTTCCTCTGTGAAAACACATCCCAGCTCCGAATTGGAGGTGCCCGCCATGACTGCAATTGCAGGAAGAGCATATTAAACCTCTCATACTTGGATTAAGAGGATTTCGATTTGTACAATACGGGTTTTGTTGCAGAGCTGGGAGGGCAATGCAAATCCAGAGAGATCAAGGCCCTGGTGTTGGGGACATGGATTCAGAGTGAGTTTAGCGGGAAGTATAGCACACTTAAAGGGACGCGGGTGGCGCTGTGGGTTAAACCACAGAGCCTAGGACTTGCTAATCAGAAGGTCAGCAGTTCGAATCCCTGCGACGGGGTGAGCTCCCGTTGCTTGGTCCCTGCTCCTGCCAACCTTGCAGTTCGAAAGCACGTCAAAGTGCTAGTAGATAAATAGGTACCGCTCTGGCAGGAAGGTAAATGGCATTTCCGTGCACTGCTCTGGTTCG